TTATAATTAGTTTTCTTCATCATACAGAACTTATTTCATGTGATATGTTGGCTTCCTATTGTAAATAAATAAATAAATAAATAAATAAAAATGTATAGACATGAATTAGTTAAAAATAACCCAATATTTTGAGCTATAGATAAAAGATAAATACTTGTTTATTTCTAATAGTTTAAAATTACTTAGAGTGAACTGTATAAATAAGTGAAATTTGAAAAAATCCTCATATGTCGGTTTTACCTTTTGTGGTTGAGCAAATACTATGCAATACATATTGTTAAACCCATTAATATGTTAACATGTAACAAATTAAACCTAACTGAATATTTTCAATATAAATAACCAAAAACACAATTTTACCAAATCTTTCCGAAAAACATAATTATGATACCAAAGAACAAAAATATCTTAATATAAGAATATAATAACTGGGTTTGATTGATACTACACAAGTCAGTCATGTCTTCATCATTCAAATACATACAGATATAAGTGCATTTACATTTGTGTACTTCTTATTTTTTACCCAAAAGATTATATGTTTTTAAAAATAATTAGTTACATTTAGTCATAATACATCGCAAGCCACTGATTAAATATATTAAACTCAGTAACTCATTAATGATCTTAAAAATACAAGAATTCTGTGTTTAATTATGTTGCAAAGATAAAGCAAGATGGACATATGAATAACAATTATTTATTGCCAACTTCACAAAAAAAAACCTGTCAATCATATAATTTCATTGATTATACATAACATCAATTTCTATTTAAAAAGTTCATGTCCTAAATTTCTAAGTAGCTATCAAGATAGCACCAAATACTAGATTAAGATCTACATATGGTCACATTACTAATCTATTTGAGAATTAAATGGTTGTAAGTCTTTATATTAAGGCAAATATTATGTCTAGATTATACAATACATAATAATTTTACCATATTACATTATACATGTCATTTTTACTATGAGTGAAATAGAATATTATTAAAATCAGAATTATTCATATACCAAACCAGTAAGTTAGTTTGCATTGATTTACTTATAACAAGGAATACATGTTTTGGTATTAATTGAATATAGATTTCATTTGACCTATGTTAGCCTCCTATAACAATTCTATGCCTAAACCATTGCTAACACCAACTAAATCCAATTATGCTTCACTAAGGACCTGAAAAAAAAAACCATATTCTTTATGGTCATATTATCAGTCACTCCAAATAATTTTCTATGGCACTAAATGTGTTATGCTAGCAGCACATATCAATACTAATGTTATAAAGAGGTAAGATTTTGTATTTTTATATGTAATATGTAATCAATAAAGTCTAAACTACTTGGTCAATATTAAAAAGTTACATTATCACTGAGTAATGTTACAACAATTATCGTTTTTTTTAAATACCGCGCAGACGAAGTTACGAGCAAAAACCAGTTCTTTTAAAAGGAAAAGTAAAATAAATACCTTATTTTATATGTTGGCTATGTGCTATTTTCCTTAACATTTTGTTGTACTGGAAGATCTAAATTATCTGATTTATCCTGCAAGTAAATTGTAACATATTAATCACATAAGTTTGATCCTTTGCAATAATAAAAATGTGCATTAAAACTCCTTATGTGATTGTCTTTGGTCGGGATAAAACATATTAAATGCAACAAAATCAAAACAGACATAAATCTAACAACAAAAGGATTAAATACGACTCATCATCAAGCTTGGTAGATGTTACTTACACTGTCCAGGGTGAGGTTTGCAGCATGTCCATTGCGCAGTGACTCACGCAATGTGTCATCTTCATCATCTGTGGGGACATCATAGAACTCCTCACTGTCCATTTCACCGTCAGTACCTGCACATTAAAAATGTTAACATTAGCAGTTTTATTGTGTAACAAACAGTAACTCGGTAAATTAAAATAGACATTTTGTTTTTTTTACTTACCTATAACGGATTGATAGTCAGTAAAATATTCAGAATCAGAGGCATAGCTTTGTTCAGGAGCATCAACTGTATCTCCCGAGGGTGCAGCTTTAGGTGTTTTAACTTCTTTTGGTCTAGGACTACGCTTTTGCTTCATGCGTCGAAGTTGACTATAAACAAACCAGATATTTATTTCAAATAATATCTTACTAATATTATAAATGCGAATGTCTGGAAGGATGATTGGATGTTAGTTTGTAGTCCTAAACTGCTTAACAGATCTCAATGAAATTTGGTATAGATAAAGAGGATAGTCTGGAACAACACATAAGCTATTTACTTTTTTTTTTTTATTTCATATGGACAGTTGCTAATTTATTATTATAAATGAAAAGTATGGTTTGGTAAATAATGAAATGCTTCAAAGCTAAATTGTTACAGTTATTGTATTAAATTTATGCTTACGTTTCTTTTTGGAGCTCTCTTAAGGCTTCTAATTCTGATCTCATTGATGAAACTTGTTTATCAAGCCGGGCAACCTCCCTCACTGTAAAGTAAAAATGTATAATGTTACATCATCTTTGCAAGCAGGTGTGAATTTTATAATTCAATTAAATTAAAAAAAATCTTCAATGGCACTCAAACTTATTATAACTTGTATATATCAAATCGTCATCATTATCAGCATGACATCGTCCACTACTTAAATATGCCTCCCCCAGCAGTTACCATGATGCCCAGTCATGTACTGCCTGCAATTAATCTAACACTATAACTTATTAATTTAATTTATTTACTAGCAATCTTGGCCCTTCTACAATTTAATTCTGAAACTGAAGTGAATACTGAGACTGCGAGTAAAAGTTCTTGTTAACCGCTAATAAATTAAAAGTTTTCAAATAATGTTAGAATGTAACTTAGGGGCAGGTTATCTACGTGGTAGTCTTTTTATGTTCACGTTCAACATTTTGGTTCTTACCTAACATAGCTCTTCTTTTTTCTGCATAGATTTGTTCATATATGAAGACACCTGCAGCACCCACCAGTCCCACGATAGCTGCTCCAGCCATCATGCGAGTCGACAAAAATGTATTGTTACTCATGTTTTGTAGGTAACGTTATACGGAAATAATTTTTAAAAATGTTATTCAATTGAAACTTTCCAACTTTCAAAATATAGTCACACTTAATTTATATTTAAAAATTAAAACCCAAAACTGAATTTATATCTTGATTCTCCAGAATTATGGATTAGATGGAATTAATTGATTTGTTCGTGGTATTATAAATCGAAGATATTTTAACCAAAACCAAAATATTTGTGTGATGGTTGTTTTTTGACAGTTTTTGGTTGGTAATTATAGTGATGGCTGGTGATTACCACAGTCCGCAGTTTTTATTTTTTATCGTACTTTTACAATGAAAATACATGGCAAAATCGATTTTTTTAATCGAACTTTGAACATAAAAGTGTAAAAGCTAGATCTGAAAATACTGATTTATGAATTAAATTACATCAAAACTTAATGACAATATATCAAAGCCAATGTTTTGAAAAGGTTATTGCTGTTCTGTTTATTTTAAGACTGCAAATTGCCAAACCAAGCGTCACGCTTGTTTTATATAATCTGTTAAACATAAGTGTTGACTGTTGTACACACCAATTAATAGTGTCAAATCAAATGTCAAACTTGGTTGTGAAACTGTCAAATTCCATTGATGCCAAAAAATTGCATTTTGTTGTTGCTTTATTATTTTTAAAACCTAATGCCGAAAATAAAAAGTTGTAGCTTTATTATAGACAGGAAGCCCAGAAGCAGAATTTTTTTCAAATTTTCCACTTCATTGAATATTCCTTTATGTTATTATAAGTTCACGATATCCGGGATATTTTTTTAAAATCGTCGGCAACATAGAATTAAATAAATATGGATATAACAGATAATTCAGGGAATGTTCCTGCTGAGAATAATTTTGAAAAGGATAGTTCTCATGAAACCAAGGAAGATCTTACTTCTCAAAATGCAGAAAACAGGGAAGAAGAAACAACACCAAAAAGTACTAATTTAGATGATATTCTTATACATGATGCAAATGATAAAAGTAAAGACATTAAGGAAATGTTTGTTAAAGAATTGAAATCACATGGAGAGGATGTGCAAATAGCAGCATCAAACCAAAAAGTGGGTGATGGTGTAGTAGAAAATTATTTAAAGTCATGTGTTAAAACAGATGCTGTAATAACATCGACAAATATAATCCCTGAAATAAGTTCTATTAACAAATCTCTTATGGAGTACTTAGATACAAGTGATAATGATGTTAAATCTAATATTGCTGATGTACTAGATGAAGAGTTACAATTAAGATGGGATGATGACGAAAATGATGGAGATAATGTGATAGATAGTGCAGATGAAGAAAGTTTATTACGAGAAAACACAGACACATGTGAGATAGTAGAGAAGGAAGGTACTGACACTAAAGATCTTGATGATAATGTATTAACTGAGGAAAAATTAGATGCAATAACTTCTGCTTCAACTCATGAAGACATTAAAGCATTGTCAATAGATTCTATCCAAAGAATTGAAGAAATTGTAACACAACATGGCTTGAAAAAGCCTGATATGATGTTGGAAATTCCCTCTCAAGAATTAATGGACTTTATGGATGAAGATGATGAGCCAGATCTTCTTAGTCATTTGGATATATTACCTAACATAGAAAAGGGTGAAAATAGTCCTAAGGTAGAAAAAGATGGGGAGAGTAATGATTTAAAAACTTGTCCTCTTAATACTTGTGATGCTGAATTAAAATTGGACAATGTGGAGTCACAAGCTACAGAAATTGTGCAAGTGGATTCAGAGGAATCTGAGAATCTCATCAATGCAGATGTAAAGGAGTCAATTGAAAAGAATAAAGCTGAAGTTTTAACAAACACAATGTCGAAAGACATAGATATGGATCCAATTCAACCAAAAGATGATGCAAAAGAGCTAAATATTGATATAACTCTTGATGAACCTCAACCTTCAACATCAAAAGCTTCTGTAATCACAGAAATTAGAAGGGACTCGGATGAAGTAGGTGAAATGAGTGATACTCTGGGGTTGTTGGCTGAGTCAACCAGAGTGGTAGAAGATGATGAAGACCAGGATGATGATGATGAAGATGATGATGGAGAAGATGATGATGGGGACGATGATGATGAGGAATATGATCCAGATGAAGGTAAACAACACACTTATTTATATGTTTTCCATAAATAGAGATGTTTGTGTTATGGGATGCCATTCAGCCAAGTGGCTGTAATATTATTTTTATAGCAGCACCAAATATAGTAAACAACAATGATAAGAGAAGCTTTGTCATCAGTTTATTTTGATAAACTATAACTTTATTTAATACTAGCTATCGCTCGTGACTCCGTCCGCATAAGATTAAAAAAAAACATTGTAAAATGTAGCCTATGTTATTCACAGATAAATTACCTTTCTAAAGGTGAAAAAATTTTTGTAATCAACCTAGTAGTTTTGAGCCTAATCATTAAAATCAAACAAACAAAGTTTTCTTTTTTATAATATTGGTATAGAAAATATATTTATTGCAGAGAATAGTAACCAAATGGCAGTAGAGTATTCAGAAGATTCTAATGCGGTCAACTCTGATTTGGACACAGCTAAGGTTGTCTCACAATCTGAGGAACAAGATGATAAAGTACCACAGACAGATTTACCTCTAATTGATGAACAAAATGAAATTTGTGAATTCACTATAACTAATGTTGTAAGTCAAGAAGAAAATAAAGATGTTGAAACTACAGAACAAATGGAAACTGATGTAAGTATTTGACAATTTACATTTTAGAGTCATCTTATTAATATTATGAATGAAAACATATGAGGATGGATAGATGGATGTTTGTTAGAAGTTTCTCTGGAATGGCTCACAGACTATGTCCTAGAAGAACATATTAGGCTAGAGGCTTTTGTTTTTTTTCTTAATATGGCTTGTACATGTATTTTTTTTTAGTTTAATCATGTTAGTTATTTGCTTTTAGGTAACAATGGTTGAAGTTGAAGAAAATGATAAAAATATGGAGGAAGTTGGTGAAAAAATGGTCAGTGTAGATTTTTGTCTGTAGTTATAAGAAATTATTGTAAAGATTTTAGATGCATGGTGACAGGAAAAATTTTTCTGAAAAATGTATATTTTTTTACAGATTATAGACAAAGAAGTGGAACCAATTGACCGTGAGTTATCACAATCTGCTACTTCAGATATAGACAATGGTGCTGAAGTTTTAAATAAACCAGAAGAGAGTGAAAAAGGTGTTTTTGTTATAGGTCAGTTAATTTTAAATCAGTATTATTATATCTATTTTTGTTGTCTATACAGCCTAAACTGTTGTTTATTAGTCATGTATGTGATTGTTGTTAATTTATTTCAGAAGATGAGAACATTGTGATATTAAATGAAGCTCAGTCACCATCGGTGTCAGAACCAGTGACAAAGAAAGATGAGAATATTGTATTATTGGAGAGTTCATCAGAAGGTGAGGATATCAATTAATTTATACCTTCCAATGTGTCTTTGGCAACATAGATAGTCTTTGATGTAATTAAGAGCTAACTTCCAGTGAGACCAGTTCTCTTTGTAAAAACAGAATTTCGAATTTACAATATTAGTAAAGAACTAATATTGTAAATTCGAAAGTTTAGATGGATGGATGTTAGAGTCTGTAGCCTTAACTGCTAAACGGATCTCAATGAAATTTGCCATAGATGTAGAGGATAGTAGATTATGTTTTTCTTAGTTTGTCCATAGTAAGATATCATAGTTATGGACACAACCAAACAGTTATTTTTTCTTGTTCTCGATAATTTTAGATGAAAAAGAAAATACGTCAAATAATCAGCCAGAAAAGGTAGAGTTGAGTAAGAAAAGTACTGAAAGTAAGTCAGTATCACCAAGTAAAGAAAAGTCAACAGAGATAGTGGAAGCAATGGATACTGAAATAAGTTCTCCTCAGAAAGAAAAAAAGAAAGTGGTATATTTTTCTTTTTCTTTCATCTTTCATTATATTCTTGATATTACTTATTCAAATCTTTATGATATCTCATTTTGTTAATTGTACAATGTCCTAATTCAAACAATTTAATAACTTCTTAATTATGTTTATTAATCCAAGTTCTGATTTAACAAACCAACATAAACATAGCAACCTATTATATATAACAATCAAAGATTATCAAAAATTATAAAATCTGTCATAAATTAAAAAGCTTATTGTCAAAGAACATTATGCATGCATGTCTTAATAAATGTTGTGGTTTTTAATATTTTAACATTTTTTTTTTTTCAGTCGAAAGTCCCAATTGGCTTAGAAGTTTTTAATGTCGATTCTGATGAAGATGAAGTAGAACAGAATGGTAAGTATGTTATGATGTCAGGTACAAAAAATGTCTCTTTCCAATTGATATGTGATGAAATAGGTTGTATAAAGTTAAAAGATCTCTTTTCTCGTAGCGAACACAATGTTTATCATTGAAGGGTAAAAGGCTTTTCTTTTATCTTACCTGACTTGATGGGTAATGTTTTCACGTGCTTATTAGTATATCTAGCGAGTATTGATTTTGACAAGTGATACATATGTAAATAATTATATTATAGTCAGCTGCTTTTGTTTTTTTTTTTAATTTATTGGACAAAGGCATAATATGAAAAATAAAATAAAATAAAACTATTAGAAGCGGTACAAAAACCCACAGGGTTGAAGTGTACTCACTGGTCGCTTAGTTTATAACATATAAAAAGTAATAAAAAACATAGCTATTTTCCGAACCACTTCAATACACGCAAAAATACAAATCTTTCCTCGTATATATTAGGATAGATTATTTTAATTTACATGTTATAAGTATATTTGTTTTTTTAACGAAGCCGATTTTGATTTAGTTTTACATTTTGTTGTTTTTTTAAATGACTTGTTCGAGCACGACGTTGTCAATTGATTTGTGGTATTTTTTATAACAGTCGAAGTGGAGGCTATTGATGTAGAGAATCCAGCACCCGTTCAATGTGTCAACCCTAAGTGTCAGAGTTTAAATGACACTAAGTTCTATGCAGCGGATGCTGATATGTCGATGTTCTACAAAATTGAGCACAAGAAGAAGGCTGCTGTCTGCGAAGCTTGTGCCAATCTCTATTATAAACATCTTGAGGTATTTAGGAAGATATATCAATTTTTGTTGTGTTTGCTTCTGAGTTTACATTGTCACAACACTTGTAGACTATTTGTTATGCCTCTGGAAAAAAAAATTGTAACAGAAATGTTTCAAAATTGTAATTTAATGGTTAATGTTAATTCAAAGGAAAAATACTAATAAAATTGGTAAAATTCTACGCAACTATTTTTTAAATTAATTGTATGTTGTTTTACAGGATTTATTAAATAAATTTAAGAATTTCACACCCCTATTGGATCTTGACACTGGTAAAAATTATCAAGATGTTGTTCATATATCAGATTCCGAATCCGACGAGGACGAAGAGTCCAATAAAAAGAAAATTGGCGCATCAGTAGCTAAGTGAGTATAGCATATCTATTTCTATTGCTGATAATAACATCCCTATTCTTTCTCAAGTTTTCTCTTTATTTTACTGATATAATAAATGCGAAAGTTTGGATGGATGTTTGTTAGAGTTTGTAACCTAAACGGCTGAACGGATCTTGATGAAATTTGGCATAGATGAAGAGGATAGTCTGGAAGAACACATAGGCTAATCACTTTTGTTTTTTTAATCCCACGCGGACGGAGTCGCGGTCGAAAGCTAATTTATTTATAAAACAAAGATTACCATTTGTTATATTTCCACGATGAATTAACGGTATTACTTTTTTTTTAATATCTTAGCAGCTCGATTTCAGCAGTATTTAGCGGTGTCCTCCCCTTGCGTCATACATAAAATAGTGTTTTCCGCGGTGTTGCAGGAACTTAAAAGCCGCCAAAATATATGAAAACTGTAATTACATGTTTCAGTTCCATAAAAATAAGCAAACACCGCTCGTTTAGTTGTTTATAGTTTGTTGTTTGCTTATCATATAAGATTTGTCGAGTTGTAGTTAAAAGCGAAATGTTGTTTATAGTTTGTTAATAATTTCATTATTTTTCTTAATTTTGATCTCTAGATATTTTATGATATTATTTAATATTTAGATTTCTAGAAGATAATTTAGCAGACGTATTCAATGCAACATGGGATAAATACAAAATGGACTCTAGAATTGCCGCCTCGGAAAAGGAACTGGAACAAGAGTTGAATAAATTGCAAGGTAATAAAAAACACTTTTTTAAATTATGATTTGAAGATCGATTTTCAAAATGTATTTTTTACTGATTTTTTTAATCTGCATTTTTCTTGCGCCTTGTAACAGATGTCACATACTACATTAGGTCTGTGTTTTGTGTTATTCCACCGGTTTGTTAGTCTCACTTAAATTTAGTATAAACTAAATTAACGGCCGATTACTGAAACGAATATTAAACAGTTTGCTTGGTAGTCGTCGCAATATGACGTCACAAATTCATTGGAATTTGGAGCTCAAGCGTAGCCTTATCATTTATTAGCAACATATTTAAATGTTTCAGTTATAAACCGTAAGTATTCTAATATTATTATTATTATTTATTACAGTACAGACAAAAGTTATTGACAAGATGATAAAAGATTGTCAAGCAGAGACAGATAAAATACGAAGTGACCTTTACGCTAAATTCGAGGTGGAACGCAAGGCGTTGCCGGCTATCTGCATAGTGGACACGCCCACCACTACGGTCAGTTACCGGTATTAAGTTGGCACGTCGGGAATAAGAGTGATCTTTTGTTACACGTGCCAACTCTAATGCAACAATTCAAGTACAAAAAAAAATAGTTACAAAGTTTTTTATTCTGTGGTATTATTATGCAATATAGTATTTTTCAGTTTTCTCTTTTATCTTGATAATTGTTATATTTTTAGTACTGCTGCTATGAGGATACGCAAGTAAATAAAGTCGAGGTAAGTTAAATATTCTATTGAAATTATGATAATGTATTAAATACGTTTATTTTATTCTTGAAAACTACTTAATTTTCGTTGTGAACAATATTAAATAATTCAACCCTTCGACAGCCGCCTCAGACCCGGTCGAAGCGTCGTTTGATGACCAATACTGACACTCCTGCTAAAAGGATAGCTGTGCCCACTCCCGACAAGAACTGCACTACTGCGCCTGAGACAAACGATGACGATGTAAGTCTATTTTAATTAATGTTAATATTATAAACAGGAGATTTTTGTATTTTTGTATGTATTGATATAACTCAAAAACTACTGGGCTAATTTTGAAAATTCGTTCACCGTTAGTAAGGTAATTTACCTTTGAGTACATGGTTTCTATTTTTTATTATTTTTTTATTTCACGCGAATGAAGACGTGGACGACCGCTAGTTATGTAAATACCTCCCAAACGCGATTCCGATTCCGCGTTATTTGCGTTGTAGGAATCCCACTTAATAACACGTTTTTTATAGCAGAGTCTTAAATCGTCTTATAGAGAGGACCTTCTATTAATAATTATTCGAAAAACTCTGTTACAGGGGTTATTTTGCGCGTTATATGGGGGTATATGTATAATCTCGTTTACATTGTCAAATTATTTCAGAATGTAGACGTGTCCGTGGTGAAGCTGTCTGCGGAGGTGGCGCCGGCCGACCTGCCGCCGCCCGGTGACGTCATTAAGCCACCGCTGCGTGTCGGCATGCCGGTCTACGCTATGAAGAGCACATTCGGACTCTGGGTCAAAGCGAAGATCATCGAAGTTATGCCTAGAACGGTAAGTTGTCTATACTAATATGATAAAACATACAATTTGTTATGTAGGATGTTTTATAACATATTTTTGATTTGAATAGTGTAAATCTTAAAAATTATTTTCACGCTATTAAATTGGATAAAACCGCTCTGCACAAAAGAAATAATACTACAATCGAATAGCAGTAAGAAAAGCAAGGTCATGGTAACCTAAATTCCACTATAAATATCTACTATTTTATGAATAACTAAAATGTTTGCGACCCTATCTTATTCTATCTCCTTTCATGTCAGTGGCAGAGTTATACGTACAAATCTCGTGCTACTGTATATTACATCTTATTTATTAAGCTATTTGCTTACTAACATTATATTGATGATAAACTTCTACAAAAACATATCGTCATCTTTTTCACTTTTTTTGAAGAATGAATAACAATGTTTTTGTACAAGGTAATATTTAACTTTTAAATCTATGTAGAGGGTTGGTAGTTATATTTATACTAATCTTGCATGAAAGTTGCTTAGAAAGCATATTATATTCAAGCAAACTAAAAAATCAGGAAAACAATACACATTATTGTATGTCAAACTCTGACTGATAGAAAGAGATAGAATAAGATATGAGGCCGCCTGCGTGGCCGTGCTTGTTACGGCTTTTTATATATTTAATATCTACGAGGAAATGGGATTATTTGTGTTTATGTGAAAAATAAGTAATATTTCAAGAACACATCCAGATATCAGTGTTTTCCTGCGACATAGTCCTTATTTTCTCCTCCGCAAATAAGTGTACGCCAGACGACGTGGACGTCGGTGCGTATACGTGCGGTTTGTACGTACAATTCTGACATCATGAAACCCAACGAAAGAGAACGGTATATACACTGCCAAGTGATAGAAAGAGATAGTGTTGATTCAAAGTGTTGTGTGATTTATTACTTTTGTCATGTAAGTGTATTGAAACGATAAGTATTTAATCATATGAAGTTATTTTCTCGAAAAATAATGTTATTTTTTTGAATAAAAATGGATTAATTTAGTTAAAGTGTTTGATCGCAGATAGACGATGATGGAAACGCAGATTCTGAACAAACAAACTATACTTTAAATGATCAATGCAATACAAGTAAGTTATTTGATTTCATTAAACATTGTAAGTTATAAATACAAGTCATAATAGTAAATAGTAATCGATCTAGTAAACAAGGTATTTATTATGGATCCATTATCATTAAAAAATCCGAATCGATATCTTTTTGACTAAAACAGATTCATCATTAACATATAATGAATTGCTTTCTCTGTCTACAGATTGCCCCGAACCAACAACAGTAACCAGTCGATCCCATAAGATACATTATAAAAATATACCAGAAGTGAAGAAAATACCAAAAACAGGTGCAGAGCGTATACGTGCTTACAGAGAACGTATACTTGCATATGAAAGAGAAATGGCAGCAAGATCTAAGAATATTGAGACAATTCTAAATAAAACACAAAACACTCAACAGCCTATCGAAAACAAACAAATTGGTTCATCTAATTCTACAAATACTATACTATACAACGCTCTTACTCGACCTTTCAAAGATCCAGAAAACAAATGTGCTATAGAAATATCCCCATATCTATCGGATTTAAAAACAACACAATCTGAATCAAAAGAAGTGGTATTAAATGATACAAAAATAGCAAAAACATCCGCAGAAAGATCGCACGCATATAGAGAACGAAGAAAAATTTCAATGAATGGTCCTATGACTAATGTCATTCACTCACTTGGTAATACAGCGAATGAAAAAGTATTGCAAAGTACAAAAAATATAGAAACATTTGCATTACAAAATGGTGTTGAATCTTCAAATATTGTGGTATAAAAACTATTTTGTAACTTATTGGCTTTATATTTTTAACTAAAACATAATACTAAATGAAAAAAAAAACCTATTGTGTGCATTTTATTAAATCATTTATTATTTCAACGGTCCCAGTACATATTTTTATTTTCAATATCACGATTATTTTCATAAATTTATTCCCTTTATAGTTAAGGATTAATTTTATTTTCAGTCTTCGACAAAGTTCACGAATTGCCGCGTGAAGATAGAATACAAGACAAACAAGAATGTTACCAAGCACGTGACGGGGCGTTGCCTCGCGTACTCCGAACCTCCTGACGTAAGACTCATAATTGGTGAGTACAGTTCGTACGTCATATGTCACGTCATACACATTGTATATCGTGAGATACGCTTACTGTGCTTTCAAATGATGGGTGTAGATCGCTCTCTAGTGTATATTTAATACACTATAACAATATTCAAACTTTACAGTGACTCATGGGTAATTATGAGCATGTATAACTGGTCAGTTTTGTCAGTCAGTTCAGTCCATTGGCTGCTCATGTTTCTCAAAATCCCGAGCCGCTGTAAAGATTGAATTGCACTATACCATACTTCAGTTTGTATGTTTTTATAGACAGTATTGTTAATACTTGTATGTATTTTAAGGTACAAGAATAATTGCGTGTGCAGAACAAACAGATTCTTTCTATTCGGGCGTTGTTGCTGAAGTGCCGAATCCAGTTAACAAGTTTAGGTATGTTTATAGATTTAGTTCAAACAATCTTTGTGGATTTTCAAATATCAATTTTCAAGAGAGTTTTTACTTTTTAAGTAATAATAGTAAAACTACGACAGCTACGTAGTGTAATAGAGCTTCTCGTAGCGATCGCCATATTACATAAAAAGATATTCAAAAAAATATATTTTTGAGAGAGATATTTTTACGAGAGGCATTGTGGACACTTCACTTGAGACACTTTTCACACAGCCATCACTTACGCTATCTATTGATAGCCTTAAACCACATGACAATATAATTAATTGCATTTAAATATAAAATATTTAAATCATACTTTTAACGATATTTAGTGTTATTTTAAATCAAAAGATGGAACTTCTTATATTTTATTACATGTTAAAACAAGGACACGAAATACGAAATGGGGTACTGATAAAGAAGTTGGTGATAAAATTTCAATATGTCTCGTCTATATTTTCCTAAGTGTTTGGTTTTATAGAGTACAGAAAGTATTATTGTGCAGGTATTTGGTGTTCTTCGACGACGGGCACGCGAAGTACGTGCAGCACGCGAACACGCGGCTGGTGTGCGAGTGCTCGCAGCTGGTGTGGGAAGAGGTGCACCCCTACTCGCAGGAGTTCGTGCGTCAGTACCTGCTGTCGTACCCCGAGCGGCCCATGGTGCGCCTTAGGCCCAAACAGCACGTCAAGGCTGAATGGCAAGGTGAGGTAACTGCGTTCTTCGCGGAACTTTCTGCCTCGCACACCGCGCTGTGGAACGGTCTGTTCTCGGCGGTATTGAAGCGAGCCTATCTGTTGTTCCTCTGGTCTTGCGGATGTCCATGGGCTTCGTTGACTACCTCGGTGTTCTCGCGGCTCGTTTGCCCCTTTTTATTATAAAAAAAGAGGTTTACACCCCACATTAGAGCAGCCTAATGCCCAGAAGGTGGAATTATTTTCATGTATTGATTTCGGCAATTTCATTCAGTCGCTGTCAAAAGTTTATTGTTAAATTTTGTTCAGTTTATATATGTACTAGTTTTCGTTCGCAACTCGATCCGCGTGGAGTTAAAAAATTCAAAAGTAAGTGGCCTATGTGTTTTTTCAGACTATACTCTACATCTATGGCAAATTTCATCGAAATTCTTTCAGCCGTTCAGGCTACGATGTCTAACAAACATCTGGATGGATCCATGTAAACTTTCGCATTTATATAGATTGTCGTGTACCGTAGGTCGGTGGTGGAGCTCGGAGGTGGCGCAGGTGGACGCGTCGCTGGCGGAGATCGTGCTGGCGGGCAAGCGGCGCGAGTGGATCTACCGCGGCTCCACGCGCCTCGCGCCGCTCTACCTCGAGCTGCAGGCGGCCGAGCGCCAGCGCGCGCGCCCCATGCCGCGCTCCGGACACCACAACAAGGTGACCCACACGACCCCAACACACCTTACATACTAGATAACTGTAAGTGTATATCTGTAGCCCGTGTCATCGTCCTCGTCGAATTCAAAAATAAAAGTAAGTAGACAATGTTCTACATCTATGATAAATTTCATCCAGATTAAGAAAAAAATATTTTATATACAATTTCATTATTTAAAAATATAATTTTTGGTTGATATGTCCTTTTCCAGTCGAACATGCCGTACGTGGAGTACACGCGATATGATGAACCCTCAAAGTCACCGACAGAATCGGCGCAACAGGTCGAGGTGAGTGAAACATACCGTTGTCTCTGTTGTAATATAAAATAATGATATAACAGTGTATTATACAAGTACTTGTGCAAACTCACATTTTTGACCTTTCGCAGGAGTTGCGTCGTCTACGCTTTATAGCCAAGAAGTCGACAGCCACGAGCCAGCCTCCTCCGATAGCAACAAACAAGAAAGTTTCAATGGAAAAAATAGTCTCTAGAGTTGTGGTGTGTACAATTATTTATTTTTTATAAGCATTTCTCTTTAATCGGGTGGCAAAGCCCTTGCTCTGTGATATTTCACCGATGGGTAGTAAATAAATTTCCTCGACTGTGTCGCAGTCAAAGAAATTCAAAAAATGTATAGAGTAGGCATAGTTGACACTTTAATTTATCTGTTAATATATCCTTAAAACCATATGTCGATATAACTGTATTAAAATTAATTGCCAATAGGTGTCATTAAATAACATTGGAATTATTACTTACTTACTGCGTTGGCGCAGCGATCCTAAGTGGGTCTTGTCCTCCGACACGAGAGAGCGCCAGCGTCGTCTGTCCATTGTAATTGGAATTACAATGTCGTAATTGGAATTATTATAATATTTTAATTAAACATTTGTAACATATTTTATAACATATCAATACGACATGACATAGCGTATTTAACTTGACAGCTAACATAGTAGTAAGATAGTTATTGTGTGTTGCAGCACTACAAGCCGAAGAACGCGGTGTGTCCGCTGGCGATGGTGGCGCACGAGTGCGGGCCGCAGTGCCGGCGCGGCGACGTGCTGCCGCTCAGCGACCTGCGCACCTACAACCCCCTCACCAAGCCCCTACTCAGCGGCTGGCAGAGGTATCTCGCACACAACCTTCCATATACTACCATGTTTCATAATGCTATCCACCTTTCTCGTTGAAAAAAAAAAAACAACAATTTTTTTCAATATAACTGTATACAAGTATCACTATTTGAAATTCTCTAGGACGCACGTCCTTCTCGCAGCTGATTTTGTATGGGAGAAATGATCTTTTCATCGCCACCAGTGCTCTATCTATTTATTTCCTTTTGAGGGGCTCGGAGCCAACCCTAAGTCAGGGTGACTAGGCCTTAGTTGACAACGCTGGGCTAGTGCGGGTTGGCTAACTTCAAAAATAGCTTTGCATGATTGCATCACGATGTTTTCCTTCACCGTAAGAACGTTTTAATTACAATTTAAATTACACATATAAATTCGAAAAATCGTAAATCGCATTAGAACCCAGGACTTGTGGATTACAAGTCAAGTGCTCAAACCCCTGAGCCACCGTCGTTCTTTTATCTGTTTCTATATAAGTATGGTATAAAGCGAAACGTGTTCAGGCAAATAGTCCGGTACAAGGCGACAAAGATAGTGATGTACCGCGCGCCGTGCGGCCGCCGGCTGCGCGACATGCACGAGCTGCACCGCTACCTGCGCGCCGTGCGCTCAGACATGCCCGTCGACCTGTTCGACTTCAGCCCCGCCACGCAGTGCCTCGCCGAGTTCGTGCTGCAAAACTGCATCGTCGCCAAGAAGGTTACCTCACTACCTCACACCCTCACCACCTCACTACCTCACACCACACGCAAATCCCACGGATATAAGTTAGACTTACTAAAATGTTTTTATGTTTGTGGCTTGTATTTCCTGTTATTATGCAGTAAAAGTAGTTAGATATTGTCCAAAATGGTTTACAACAAGTATTGTGTCATTAACATGTTCAGTGCGTTACGGGAAATATATTCCCACATTTTTAATTTGAACTCCGTCGTGTGCGGTCGCTAGTTATTGTTGTCTCACCCCTGCGTTCTTATACACGAAAAAAAGAGATGACTATATTCCTGACATCCGTATAAGTTTGTTTAATGTTGACGCACTGAATATAAAATGTGTAGGATCTGTCGCACGGCAAGGAGAACATGCCGGTGCCGTGCATGAACTACTACGACGACTCGCTGCCGGAGTTCTGTTCCTACAACACGGAGAGAACGCCCACCGCCGGCGTGCCGCTCAACCTCGACCCCGACTTCCTCTGCGGCTGCGACTGCGAGGACGACTGTGCGGTAACAACACACCCATCACACATTCGAAACATAATTACATATCAACTAAGAGCAGCCGCTGCTTTGACTAAAAAATCGCAGAACTGTTGTGCGATTGCTTAGTCAAAGCAGCCAATTCAATTTTGTTGCATAACAAAAAATGGAGTAGTGTACCTCCATATAAGTTCACAGGAATTAAAGCGAAACTAAACAGTTGTGCGATATTTTAGTAAAAAATGTGCGCACGCTCACAGTCTTGCAAGATACATAGGTTAAGTGTTTTAATTTCACAAAAATAAATTAAATGATTTCTGTATTGCAGGATAAAAATAAATGTGCATGCTGGAAGATGACGATAGAAGGCGCGCGGACTATCGGCATAGAGGGCGACGTGGGCTACGTGTACCGCCGCCTGCCGGAGCCCCTGCTCTCCGGCATATACGAATGTAACTCTAGGTACATATCCTACTTAATACGTGTACAAGAAAAATGCTTTGATACACTTTAGTGACACTTGTATACACGCGTCAGTGACACTTGTATACACGCGTCAGTGACACTTGTATATATTGTTACCATTATCAATTACTACTGTAATGTATACGGTTCCTACCGTAATAGAGTTTTACTGTCAGTTTACGTATAACATTTTAATTACGATTGTTTTTTTCAGGTGTAAATGTAATAACACATGTTTGAACCGAGTCGCACAACATCCTCTACAATTAAAACTACAGGTAAATTAATTACCACAGCATATTGTTTGAAATTCAAGACTATTACTGAAATATATTTACTTAAAATACAGTTTTATTTATTGCAAGTATAAATTAAACTGTTTTATTTGTGAGGTTTTCAAAACGGAGCAAAGAGGCTGGGGTATCCGCGCGCTGAACGACGTGCCCAAGGGCGCGTTCTTGTGCGTGTACGCCGGCAATCTGCTCACTGACGCCACCGCTAACTTGGTAACTAAGATTTTCTTATTTATGTTTATTTTTTTAAAAAAAAACTGTAAATATAAATCAGGTACATAGAAAAAGACGACGCTACAATCTCCTTTGGCAAAATCACCGGTTTATTTTTTTTTTATTTTGGGGCGGCCATGGTAGATGATGATGATGATGGTACGATTCGAGGAATGACTTCACAATTACATCAAATTAGTCTTCGTCAGCCTATGTTAAAGTTAAAGTAGTATATGTGTTCTTCCAGGTTATGTCTACATCTATGCCAAATTTCATCGAGATCCGTTCAGCCGTTTAGGCTACAAACTATAACAAACATCCATCCATTTAAACTTTCGCATTAATAGTAAGATCAAAATAATGCAATTCATAAAGAAAATTAAAGACATCTAATAAGGAGATAGATTTAATGTTTATATAATATTCAGGATGGGTTGAACGAAGGTGACGAATATCTCGCGGAGCTCGACTATATAGAAGTGGTGGAGGCAATGAAGGAAGGCTACGAGGAGGACGTGCCTGAATCCCTCAAAGAGAATGACCAGGTATTACTTAATGTACTAACTAGGTTAAGACATTAATATAATTGTAACAGCGTAATTAACATCAACACTCAGTCCATTAACTCCTGCCAGATTGGCGCGCTATTCTAATACGTCTGAATGACATTGACAGCTGTCATAGGGACGAGACGTTAATGCCCATGTTCTAGTGTTGCGCCGATTTTCATAACACTAGGAACAGTGATGTGAACACTGATTGCTATTAGTTAAGCTTTTCAAATATCTTGACGATACAAATTCCACCTCTACCATCTCGTATTATGTTTTGAACTGAGATATCTGACAGTCTCTATGTTGCGTGCAACTCTCACGTAAAAGAACACAAGCATAACAACATAAAAAATATATGTAACTATAATAATTTGTGCAAATTAGAAATTGATTTAATGAAAAAGATTCAAATGCATCGTTATATTCCTGTTTAGGCTATAAATAATAATACCTAAATTACAGAAAAGCGGTTCAAACGATTCCTCGGAGGAGGAGGAGTCGAGTGAGGAGGAGAAGGAGTCGAAGACGAAAACATCTAAAGACGAGGATGATGACTTCTGTCCCAGTTACGTTGAATTGCCCTTAGAGTTCAAGTGAGTACTTTTATTGGGACGTTAAATAATTTGCAGTTCAGAACATTGATTAAGTACGCGGAACATAATTTTAGTTCTGGTGTCGCGTAAAACGGGCGAAAAGATTGAGGCGGATAATCTCAGTTTCTGAATGTTAATTTTTTTGCAATGTTAAATAAACTAATTACCATATTATAAATAGAATTTTTCCATTTGTGTATATGTTTCTTTTATGTAAAAACTACTGGGCCTATTTTAAAAATCCTTTCATCATTAGGAAGGTAATTTATCTATAACATAAGCTATATTTTTTTATCCACGCGGACACGCAAAAGCTAGTAATGTTATAAAGAGGAAAGATTGACATTTGAGGATTTTTTTATGTATTCAAATAACCCAAAAACTACTGGGCCGATTACAAAAATTCTATCACCGCTGTGTATTTTTTAGTTAGGCTGTATTTTTTAGGTCTTTTTTAATTTCACGTGGACAATGTCGCAAGCAACGGATAGGTAAACATATTCTAATTACCAAAAAGCAAACAATGATCCTATATTATTTTTTTTATGCTGCATAATAAATTATCCAACTTGTCGACAGCAAACGTTTGCGAACTCGAGAGAGACGCAAGAAAGAGAAGCAAGATGACTCAGGGGAGCAGAAGCAGAAGGAAAAAGAGACGGAAAAAGAAATGAAAAAAGAATCTAAGAAGGAAGCGGACAATTGCAATGGAGATGAAGAATGTATAACTATTATTAGTGATGATGAAGAAGGTAACATTTTATTACAATAGAAGTATTTTGTAGAATTACAGTCCATACTAAAACCGATTTTTTTGTGTATTTATTAGACGTACAAATATATCTGCTTCTACTATTAGACATATACAAATATTAGAAAGATTAGATGGATTAACTGATCTTGCCTAAATTTGGCATAGATATACAACCGTCTGGAAGAACATATAGGATAATTAAGTTTTCATTTAATACGCGCGGACGGAGTCGCGGGCGACAGTTAGTATTAGTGTAAAAATCTAGAAAATTTTCTATAAAAGTTGTAAATATAAGCTTTTTAATGTTATGTTTTTATTTCAGTGCGGGAGCCGTCAAGATTCACAGTACAGGCGGGGATGGACTCCAAGCAATTAGTATCAAAATACAGGTAAAGTTTTATAATGCTTAATTTATACGTTTTAAGGGTTTTTACTAACACTATAAGGAATACGTTTTCTTTATTTTCATGCGTTTAATAAATCTGCAGATCTGTTCGTTCGTACTTCGGCGAGGACGAGGCTTGTTACATCATGGACGCCAAGGTACAAGGCAACATTGGACGATATCTAAACGTAAGCCAATATTCAATTGACTACTTTATTTCATTTATATACGGTTTTATGGGAAAAATATAAAAAATTGTGCTCTACATCTATGCCAAATTTCATTGAGATCTGTTCAAGCGGCAAACTCTAACCAACATCGAAACTTTCGCATTTATGATATTAATAAGATGGATATTGCTTAAATGACTACAAATCTTCATTAATAGTGAGACTAGTTCAAAAATTAAACTATTATCTCTCCATTTAAAACATATATAATAGTTTGTTAAAATATCTGCCTATTTGTCTTGTTTAGAGCAGATGTAGCATATTTTCCAGTTGTAGTGTACCGCCTTTAAAGATTGAAATCATTCAGAGTGTCTGTCGGTCCAATTTATTTAGTTAACTAACTTGAACCCGCGACTCCTTCCTCGTGGAATTAAAAAAAAAAGTGAGAATCCTATACATGCTTCCAGGATATCCTCTACGACTTGTCAAATTTCATCGAGATCCGTTCAGCTTAGTCTACAAACTCTAACAAACGTCCATCCATCCATCTAAACTTTTACATTTATGATATTGATATAATACTTAATTACTTATTTGTTTGTCCAGCACTCCTGCTGTCCGAACGTGTTCGTGCAGAACGTGTTCGTGGACACGCACGACCCGCGCTTCCCCTGGGTGGCGTTCTTCGCGTCCAGCCACATCCGCGCCGGCACCGAGCTCACCTGGAACTACAACTACGACATCGGCTCCGTGCCCGGCAAGCTGCTCTACTGCTATTGCGGCTCCGACAACTGCAGGGGCCGCCTGCTCTGAACTCGCGATGTACTGCACAAAACAATACCAACGTTAATACTTACTAGACAGATTCCAAAATGATATAGAGGAAGCATAGTTAGAAATATTTTTCACATGATCCACTAGCGACATCTATTAGTATATCCTCAAAACCAAATGTCAATGAAATTAATTGTCTATAGATTTGATTAGATAGATTTTTTTTTAATTGTAATTAAAAGGAAGTTTAAACCACATTTTTCGCATTGATGTTAATGATAGATTATTGTTTTCGTCTGTCATTTTGTGCAGCTGCTTTATAGATAAAATAGTTAGGGCCTGTCGTACCACTGGCTTGTAGAGGTTCAGATAGCTTAAAAGTGTCGTCGCTGTCAGAGTACCAAAATCCGAATATTTCTATCACATGTTTTATACGTTGGATTGTTATCTTAAAATTTACAAGAATTGTAGGACAGGCTTTTAGTAATTTAAATTGTCGTCATATCTGCTGTTGTATCTGGAACAGCATTGGTTTAGTTGTTGCTATGTAACCTTTGTGTTCACGATTACGTCTCGTTTACTCCACCTCAGAAACACGTGTATAAACATTGTTCTCTCTGTCATTCTCTACACGTTATAACAATGTATCGTACGGTGTTACTACAGTGGAAACCCACATTAATGTGACTTGTATAAATGATTGTAAGACTATTTTAAGATTGTTTTGAATGGTTTTGATATTTAACTTGATACTTGTGAAAGAAAATATTTGATGAAATACTTTGTAATTTGGAACAATTAACTTTTTAAACGCAATATGTAGGGATGTGTTTTAGGTTTTTTTTTAATATAATGTAGTAAATTTTAGACTGATTGTAAAGAGTTCTAAATTGTAAAAAAAATTGCCATCTATTTTATCTCGAATTTTAATAAATATCAATTCGTTTTGTAAAGTAAAATTATAATTTGGTAAAATTAGTGTAACCGGATACCATCGTTGTCGGCTGTATGTTTTTATAAACCATGTAGATATTCCTTTCACTATCTTATAAAAAAACAAAGACAAGTGTTATGACAATGGTCTTTTCCAGTTCTCTTTTTCAATTTCTCAGTACTAAAAGTCATTATTTAGTTAATTTTGTTATATCGATAGCCTAATTATAAGAGAAATATTTGATAAGAATAAATAAATGTCTTTCAACAAACATGTCTTTGATTTTTAAAACCACCTATTTAGCAAATAAAATACAAAAAAGAAGTTGAAAGAAAAAAAAACACAAGTTATGTCTAAAATATTGTTTATTTTTATAAAATTACTCCACTTTCACTTAATGATAAACATTGGTCTATTTTAGTCACGACACACCGCACTTTTTCAACGTTATACCCACGTTTTATGACACGTTAGAAAAACACTATAACCATACTTCATAGTCGGAGATTAGGGGGTGCGTGTTGTTTCAAGTCCGGTAATGATGTTGGGGTGCGTGCTGGTTGTAGTCCAGTCATAATGTCGGGGGGTGCCTGTTGGTCATGGTGTTGAGGGGTGCGTGCTGGTTATAGTCCGGTCATGATGTTGGGGGCGTGCGTATTAGTTGCGGTTTGGTCATGACGTCGGGGGTCGGGGGGCGTGTGTTCGTTATAGTCCAGGCATGATGTAGGCGATGTTGTGCAGCGTGTTCTGCATGACGTGTGCGGGGGGCGCGAGGGGCGGCACGGCGCGCACCACGCTCAGCAGCGGCCCCAGCGAACACAGCAGCGTGTCCAGTAACACCGACACGGACCCCGACACTGCGATCTGACCCTGAAACATTACAACCAAAGAACATTAAGTTATTAAAACGTCACGTGTGTTAAGCCGTGTTTAATAATTAAACAATGAACATTTTTAATATAACCTTATGTTTGTATAGGTATGCAGTATCCATTGCTCTCAGATAAGGATTGATCAATAAACACTTTTACTAATACAAGATATCAGCTATTGCACTATTGCATATCTTACTAATAATAAAAATGCGAAAGTTTGGATGGATGGATGTTTGTTACTTTGAAGCGTAAACGGTTGAACGGATTTCGATGAAATTTGGCATAGACATAGGGGATAGCCTGAAAGATCACATGGACTACTCACTTTTTTTTTAAATTCCGGGTTAAGTCGTGGGCGAAAGCTAGTTATTAAATATCATAGTATTTAGTAATAAGAATTTTGCAGTAGTTGTTTTAGTTAAGACTTTATCCACTGTAATAGTAAACCTCGTGTTCCTTGAGCCGCTCCCCGATGATGGCGAGGCTCTCCCCCAGCAGGCGGAGATGCGCGGCCACGTCCACGGTGCCACAGCCGGTGACGCGGTACACGGCCGCCGCGCCCCCGCTGCCGCCGCTGCCCCCGCTGCCCCCGCCCTGCGCACTCACCGCTGACGTGGGGCTCACACTCACTGGCTGTGGAATTCATTACACACGTCATCTTCCTTCTTAACGTACTCTCATAGGGACTAATAACTATTACATAACGATTGGGAAATTATAATATGATGGAGCAAGAATGAATAAGTATTTATTAAGCTAGTACATACTACCTCCTGGCCATATTGTTACTCTTGTTAGGTGGGAGCGCGGTCAAGTGCTAGATTAAAAAACTTAAAAAAAAAGAAAAAGGAAATTGAAAGGTGGTGGTGAGGTGAACTAACATTTTATAGGGTGTAATGGTGACATAAAATATTATCAAGTAATTTCAGATTTTCTGGGGTATAAATTTCATAAAATCTGTTCTCAATATTCTAATGCTTGCCTAATGAATAACAAAAGTCTATGTGCAAAAGAAGTCAACCAACACTTGGCCAGTGTGGGTGACTATGGCCTAGTCACCCTAACTTAGGGTATGCTCTGAGCTCCTCGGTGGGGACGTATATTGAGCTGGTGATGATGGTGATGATGTGCAAAATGTGAAGTGTTGTCTAGTCTACTTACTGTGAGTGCATTTTGCGCGGGCGGCGGCTGGCGCGCGCGGTTAGCCGGCGGTCTGCCCGGACCCGCATTTGAGGTTGGTCGGACACCTGTAAACAGCATATAATCTTTTACTTCATATATTATAAGCTGTTAAATTTTTGGCTGATTTGTTTGATTTATTAGATTTTACATATTAACAAAGGTGTCAAATCTACCACCTTTTAAGCAATTTGACAAAAACATAAAACTGATGAAAATGCTTCATCAATTAATTTTAATTTATAAAATTTATAAATACTCACTGGGATTAGATATAATCTTGGATGTTGTAACTTGATTGCTCTGTTCCTTTTGCATAGCAAACCTCTTTGCCTTCCGTTTCCATAAATATCGCTCATTATATGTTACCTGGTTGAATATTCAAGTATCATAAATATTACATACATAAACTCTAACAAACCTAAATTGCTAACTTTAAAAAAATATATAATGATAAAAAAAATAGCTTTAATATCCCTAAATCTTTTTAACATTAGTATGTACTATGTCACTTGTCTAGTGACTAGTGACATAGTACATGTGAAATTAAAAAATACCTTTAGGAGCCTATGCATTCATCCAAGACAATGCTTTATACCTTAAATTTCATACAGAATAAGGCAGCCCTTCTGGATTTATGTGATAACAAACATCTATCTAAACTTCAGCACATTTGGCACTACATAATAAATCAAAGTTAACTTACATTAGCCCACATTTCACCCAATTTCTTTGATATTGCGGAGAAATCCATACTTGGACTCTGTCGTAAAAGATCATTTCTTGCTTCCTTTGCCCACATCATGTATGCAGTGATTCGAGTCTTGCCTAACAAATGAAAACGTGTAGTTTCAATTTTCATAAAATTTTTCTCAGTATTTTACAAAAAAATAAGGAACTAATTACTACATAAAAAAGTTACCGATTGATGATTTTTCAATAGTGTCTATAGAAAATATCAAACTACCTTTGTCTTTTCTCTGGGCTTTAGCTCGACCTATAACTTTTCCATCCTTTATTATAATTTTTTTCTTGTTACTTTTCTCCATCATGTAGAGAGAGTTGGCGGGTGTCCTTGCGGTGCCTTCATCTGAAGCTGAACTATCTGACTCCATACTAAAACAATAACATAATAATGACAAAAAAAACAATAAAGACGGGAGAAAAATGTTTGTTTTTAATGTAACCTTTCAGCATTTTCTCCATTGTTTTCATAAAAGTCAGATTCACTTCCCGAAGCAGTACCCGCGTCTTCCGCGGGCTTCTGTGGTGTATCGTGAAACTCCATAGGTTCTTCTTGTTTAAACCCGGCGTATGACTTCACCGGAGTTTGGCGTCGAAACCTAGTCTCTATATCGTCTGGAGATTCAAAATCCATTAGCTTTGAACTTTTCTTTCTCACTCTTCCGCTTCGGGAGATACCCGTAACCTCCAAATCTAGGAAAACAAAAGAAATCACTGCTGTGTTTGCAATGAAAAAACATTAATGATTGAAAATATCCTTTACCGTCCTGCATAGTGATGTCGAATTACTAAAAATTACGTGGTAATAAAAATATATTGTTTGTTTTCGTAACGTAAGACGCGCCAACCACCTTTCAATTGTTTGACAGTTGACGGATGTCAAAAAGGCAAAGGGCCAAAGAGTATGAATGTCAAAAATCCCAGATACACACTTACCAAAAAAATATATCTATGCAGATGCTTTATATCTATGATCTATCTATTTCTATTCTATAAATAAACCACTGTGACGACAACCCGTTATCGCATCGTTAATAAATTTAACATTTTCTGTAAAGCTCCTACTTCATAAAACTATTTTTATTATTTCCTTAATGTAAACCATTAAGGAATCATTTAAAAATAATTGGCAGAAAATAAAAATCTCTAGAGCCTCGTTGGTCTATACATTGATTTAAGGGTTAATAGAAAACAATATACATTTATAACAATCAATACTTTATTTATGTTTACGTTTCTTCAGTAATAACAATTAACCTTAAATCTGCATATTATACAAAATCACCATTTTAGGCAATACATAAATTGCACCTGAAAGATAGATACCAAAAAATGTCCCTTTTTATGCGATAAAAATATAATCCGTAGCCATAATAAAAAAAACATTACATTTAAAAAATAGTGGAGCTCTGAGGCAAGAATGTGTTAAATAACATTATCAACAGCTGCTTTTTAGCAAGAAAAATAATTGAAGTTAGTTTTTTTGTGATAAAATGAAACATATGAAAGCAAAATAATAATTTCACCTGTAAAACTAAATGCAGTTTTTTAAAATATTAAGATATAATACAAAAAGATATTAAGTAGGCCTAACAAATAACATATTCAGCCTATTTTTATTGATACAAACAAAAATGCTCGTAAAAACTTAGGGCTCATTCTTAAGAACGTTCTCTTAACGATTTCGACATAATTTGTATTAGTTTTGTATAGCGCCACTACCGGGCGTAACGTACACCAACAAATCTCATAGTCGACGACGTTACGAATACGTGCTTGTAACTGACACGAAAATATTCGTGATGGATCAAAATCTAAGCTAATTATTATATAACGTTATTAATAAAGAAGTTTATTTGTTGAACACATATCACAATGAAAATGATTTCTGTAATTCCTTAAAACACTTTTGTATTGACAGTATAAAATTGTGCTGCCACCTGATAAAATTCGAAGGCAAAGATTAAGTATTCAAAGTGTAGACAAGCAAATTAACCATTATGCATGTATTACTCAGCTGACGCGACCCATTATACTGCCGAAAATAACAGCAGCACATATTATTATACCAATTCCAGTAAAAATTTGATTCGGTTCTAATATAACTTTATGATGCAGATCATCTTTTTCTTTTTCGACATCGTCTAGATCGTGGTGAACGGCGTTTAGGGCTTTGGCGAGCTCCGCATCCGATTTGGCGCTGGTCTGCGACGCTGCGACTACCAATCGTTTTAGTTCTTTTATTTGAGTTTCCACAACATGTTCTTGATGATTTAAATGTTCTGAAACATATTTTACACTGTCAGAAAACTCAAGATTAAAAAAATATTCAATCAATTTGATAAAATGTATGGACGCCAATTTTGACCAAATACTAACCTATTAATGATGACTGTTTATTGACTAGATGATTTATATTTTCTTGCATAAGTTGTAGGTTTTGTGCAAGTTGTTCCTGTAGTCAAATAAAATAACTGTGTATATATTAATCATATTTGTCCATTTAAGTATCCATTATGACTCCTACAGTATGTACTTTAAAAGTGATAGAGCCCGCTTTAACATCTTCACACGAATAAGTCGGCTCGTCCGGTGTAATACCACGACCACAAAAACGACAGGCGTGAAGTGCAATGCAATTCCGCGTTTCGTCTGATGAGTGTGGTGCGGGAGGCCAAATTTTAGTCCCTTTCCCTTTCCACCCTTTTCTTAAGAGGAAAGGACGGAGAGGAAAATTGAATTTGACAATGGAGGAGACATATAGGAAGGGGAATTATAATATTTATGTGCGTCTCGTCTTCCGTCGATTAAGGGTAGGCAACGCCTCTGCATTTGCGGCTGTCTGTGGGCAGCGGTCGCTTCGCTATTTCGGCGGATTCGGATGACCTCTTGCTCGTTTGCCACCTTATAATATAAAAAAAAAGGTAGAATTACCTGATAAGCGAATTCAGTTTTCATAGCTTCAGTGATATCGGCTTTGCTGGCGCTGCCGCCGCCCGCGATGGTGTAGAGCACGCTGGCACTGCGCGCCATCTGTTGCTCCATCATGTCACGGAACTCCGCCATTTTTAAACGGTTATTGATTGTTGAACCAGCTATACCTAACACTGTACCTATAAATAGAACAGAGCTAAAATATTCTACAATGTGATAATGAATACACACTAAAAATATCAGGCACAAAATAAAAATATCAGAGACTGACCAACTTTGTTTTTTTTAATCTAGTAAATAAAAGAAACAAACAGTTGTTTGTCATCTCTGAAATAATGTCTATATGTCTATATGAATGTAATGCTTTAGGCTATATATTTGCATGCTATAAATCTTAGAGGGTGAGTAAATAAGAAAAAATGCTATGAAAAAGGGACAAAAACTACAAGCAAACACTCGCAAATCATGGTTGCCATGGTTACTTTAAGGCCAACAGCCTCCATTTTCATTTGACTTTTTTGAATTGTGACAGTTGCAATTGAATATCTTACAGAATTTAACAAGAAAATAAGTTTTTATAATAGGAAAAGCTAGTATGCATATACACAAACATTTACAAATATCTACTTTGTCTGGAATAACTGTTAAAGAATACCTCAAAACATTAAGTCCTTACTTTAATATAACATTACAAACATGGTAATTGGAAACAGAATGTAAAAATATAGTATCACTTTACCTAAAAGTAATCTTGTCTTGTAGTAAAAGAATCTTTGTGTAATATTTACTTACCAAATATAGAAGCGACTATGTACCAGTATTTGTTACGTTCAGCATGTGCCCTCTCTCGTTCATGGCCTAGCTTCACCGCTGCAGACATCGTGGCGAAAAGTTCCCTTTCCTCTCTTTCTGCATCCGAAAAAAGTGTTCGCAGTGCTCTCTCTTGTATGATTAACTGAAATTTATTTGAGTTGTATTTAGACCCTTTAAATTCTCAATGAATTCTTTTTGGATTTTCCTGGTAAAGCCTTATCAAGAATATAAAAATCCTCACCTGGAGGATGTTCAATTGTCCTATTAAATTTTCTAATGTTTGCAAAGGATTCAAATTCATATTTTACTGCAATATGACAAGGGTTTTAATATTTCTGGTGTCTATAGATAGAAAGTGACCGTTATGTTAAACAAAATGTTGAAAGACAATCTGGAACTTGTATGTTCCATATGATTGGCTAAGTATATAAGTGTATATCTTGAGATATTGGTACAATATTATTTTAAGCATTCACCTTGTGTTCTTCTGTGCAGAGTTGTAGATATTTTTCATCTCCTTTCATAGTATTCTGCATTTCAGCATGCAGCTCTTTTAAGCGTGCTTCAATAGAAGCCAGCTCCCTGCCAAGCTCTCTGCGCCTTTCTTGTGCATCAATGAATCTTTCCTACAAATATAAAAAAATTGTTAACCTCATGATGATGTGGAATAATTATAAATGGACATATGACATTTTAGTGGAACTGCAAAAAAAATAAGTTTGGTCTTCTAATTTTATTTTACTTGATATTAAACTGAATTATTTTTGTTTTCTATGAATAAGATACTGTCAAATATATTTTAAAACACCATAGATATTTTCCTATCTAAATATATATATATATATATATATATCACAAGTACAGTTGTAATACCTGAGCTTCAATAACAGTATTCTGAATAGCCATTATCTCTTCAACTCCCGTGAACTTTTCATATTTTGAAACTAGATCTTGCACTTTTTGAGACACACTTGTATATTTAAATTTTTCTGCGATTTCATTCATCTTAGTAGCTGGAACATACTTGGTAATCAACTGGTCAGCTTTTTCACGGCTGTTTGAACTTATTTGTACCATATGTACTTTATCTTTCAGCCGCTGGGCCATCTGACGAAGCCGGTCCGCCATGATTGCATATTCAATCGTAATTTGGTATTATAAGAATAACTATTCTCTGAACATTTTCTAAAGATATGATATCATCTCGTCTTATTTGAGAATTGTCAGTAATATTGACATTGACAGTTGTGATGTGACAGTGACATTGATTTCAATAAACACTACCTACGATCAATTTTAAGCACAGTTTTAAGGTGCAGAAAAAGAAAAAATATCATGTTATCAATTTTTTTTCTATCTTTAAACTCATCTGTCTGTCATTTCCATATCAAATTAATTAGGTATTTTAAGTAATATTAATTACTGGTAATTTTTATAAAGATATAAAAAAGACAATATTGATCTGTCAGAAAAACCAGCGCCATGTAAACCTGGATGTGGATGTGGAAAGATTGCAGAGAGTCGGCGCTAGGCCCTGGAGTGCGTCAGCTAATAGAGGCAGACAGACTACTTTTAGGGGCACTAGATCGATTAACGCACATAAAAAGAGAAGGCCCTGAGATAACTGTGAAACAAACAATTTTATTAATTCATTAGTGTAATCAGCGACTTATTTCGCACATTTAATAAAACGGTTTTATAACAACCATGATCGATGACCGGGCAAAATAAAAAAAGACCCGAAACAAAAAATTTTACGTTTAAACTTTGTGTTACAGTTTACAGTGAACTGAAGTTAATCCGTGCCAGCTTTATACGCTTTAATGAAAAAGCGAATGCGGAGAAGATTGTTTCAACAAATCGAACTCAAGACTTCCCACTCGATGATATAATAAAAAAACTACAAAGCGCAATACGGCATGGTCCGATCGTTTATGTTGTACATACAATAAATTACGTTCAAGGTAGTTACGGCGTGACACTACCGACGACAGATAATTCGTTAAGTATGATTAAGACATCGCCAAAATTGTTTTTGTTTATTTATTTATTCAAGATACAATCAATGGACGTCGGGACGCAGCTGTCATTAGAATAGAAGCACGCAAAGCAACGGCGACCTCGGTACGCGCATAGATCGTCACTAGAAGGACAGTGAATTCAGTTGCGGTTAGACGATGTGCTAATCATTCTGGTCGTTTAGCATGCACAAAATGCAATAAAACTGACGTAAAAAAATTCAACCAAGATTTTCTTTTATCTGTATACTTAGTATTGTTGTATCCCAAAACATCTTAAAGTAACAAATATAAAGAAAGCAACAGAATAGTGAAGAAATTTTCTTTCTTCTTAGAAAGGACTCGCTGTTTCTCTTGATTTCGTCCACGTAAAACAAGATAGCTTTTAATGGTGAAAGAATTTCTGAAATTGGTTTTGTAGTTTCCGAGTTATTTCAATGTAAACTTTTAAGTAATAAATATCTTTCCTCTTTATAATATTAGTATAGATAAGTAGATGTGGAATTTAAAAAAGATGTCAGGTTTGTCTCTATGCGCATAATAACCCAGGGCCCAGGAAAAAAAGGCCCGGAAGTATGCTGGGTAAAAATAAAGTTACATGGTTGTTTCTGTAGGCTTGCATAATAAGATGTCCATTTGATGCATTCTTCACTTCAAATAAACTGAAACACAATATTATGATAGACTCGCATAGAAAATTAGAACCATGTAAGACGTGCCTGTGTTGCATTGATAATGATATAAAGTTTTGTTTTAACAAGCCGAATGATTTATCGATAACTCTTAGTATGCTACTTACGCAGGAGACATTATTCGCATGACTAATTCTAAACAACCATGAAGGTTCAAACATGCTGCGTCAATTAGGTTTTTTTTTTGAGTTTTTTATAACGTCTTGCATATAAGGAAGAAGCTTCTTTGTTTGGTGTTTATTAATAAACATAAGTGTTTTGATATAAGCGTTACAAAAACATTACAATTACTAAACACTAGCTATAAATAAAAAACGTTTTTTTCCCTTTGAAATAGCAGATAAATCGCAAATCCTTGTTCAATCTTAGTTGACAGCATTTTCAGAAGATAAATAACGCAGTATATAAAAATACTAGTATTCACATTAATGTTTTAATTATGCAGACACACATAAATTAATATTAATTAACTTAACATGTAACTGAAATAGTATGTGAAATAATATTAGAAGGCCAGCGACGGTTAATGCACTATTCGAAAAAAAACCTGTTTTCTGTTAATATATATGTCTAAATGTATAATTAAAAACAGATAGTTAATAACATAATGATCTTTTAATGACGATTTTTTTATCAACATGGGGACATGCATGCCACTTTACTTACCCTATCATAACTATGATAGGGTAAACTTACAAGTGTCATCATATGAGATATTATTGTTAAAAATTAAACAAAAAAATGGGTCCCACCTGCAAGCACTACCTTTCGGATAAAAAAAAGAATTATCAAAATCGGTCCACTAGCGGAGTTATACCGAGAATACAGAGTTATACCGTAACACACATAAAAAATAAAAATAATAATCGTACAGACAAATTGAGTACCTCTTTCTTTTGGGAGGTCGGTCAAAAACAGGATACATTTACTGGCGTATCGAATTTAAATACATGAATTTGTTATAACAAAAGTCAACAAGCTTCTAAAAGTGTCATACCCATGAATAGAACCTTTGGTATTATGGTCTGTTTTAGGTTATAGTCGGGGACGATTATTTTTTTTCTTTCTCCTCCTTATCCTACTCCCGTAGGGTCGGCGCAAAAGGTTGTTCTCCTACACATAACTCTATCATATGTCATCACTCCCTTTTGATCATGTCACCTTTCACGCTATACATCGTACTTATAACAAAAATGTTATTTATCGTTCGTGATGTAATCCTATGTTGTTACTCATATGTTGATAGCTAGACAATCGGTCTAACGTGGTCAGTGAATTAAATTCTTTAACAGTACCTCTGATATCGTAATGCGATTTAATTTTTTTTAAGTCGCAAATTGGTCTCAGGGTTAATACATGTTATTCTCTTGACTAGCGACCCGTGCTGGCTTCGCACGTGTCAAAATGTATTTATGTAAGATATCACATTAGAAACTTTAAACATTATCAGTATTTCTCTATTACACATTTAAACGTTCCTCTTAAATCATTCTTCTTCTTCCTTAGCTCTACAGCCGTTTGTGGGCCTTGGCTTGGTCAAGCAATTTTTTCCACTTCGGTCTGTTAGTGGCTACCGATTTCCAGTTTCTTATACCAACATTCTTTGCGTCACGATTTATCTTAAATCATTCCATCTGTTAAAAATGTTTATCAAAGTTCGTTGCGTAGTTTCAAAGATCTAACCATACATAGAGACAGGCAGCAGGAAGAGACTTTTTTATAATATGTGATAAATGTTTTATCCGGTTTCTCTAGCTTTGTCCAGCTAGAATTAGTACCTATAAGGAGCGTGAATCGGCGAACTTTCACGGCGGTATTCCACCGAGGCGTGGTAATTCGCGGCCGACCCATTCCAAACACTAAACTTGTTACATTAGTTTTAATAAACCTGTCTCTACAACTTTGACATTTCCTTAATGTAAAAAAGCGGCCGTAGTAAGGTAATACATTATCAAATCTAAATATTTCATAAGAACAAATATGTAAATGTCGATCAATCTTACTAATATTATAACTCGAAAAGTTTCTCTGTTTGTTTGTGTTTTTAGCACAAACGGCTGAACGGATCTTGATAAAATTTGGATACATATAGAGCGTATTAGGGAAGAACACATAGGCTACTTGCTTTTGTTTTTGTTTAATATCACGCGGACGGAGTCGCGGGCCAAAGCTCGGTAATGTAATATTTTAAAATCGACGGTTTTTTCTCTGTATTTTGATAAATGTGTTTGTCAATTGTTTTCTTATCATCTGAGATTTTGTTGGTTTAAACATGTATATTTCAACATTGAAATACTGTATGATGACCAGCATGAACTGAGAGAATGGAGTTTTCTCATAAGTACGAAATTTAAAAAAAAAATTGCTTAATAATAACAATGCTAGGTTGCTGAAGTTTACATTATTTTTATCATTACCTAGCGATTTATTATTGTTAGGTGACCTAATTTTTAACGTAGTTAAACTCAAAATGTGTAGTTCGGAAACACATTTCATGAAGGTATCGAACCAGTATAAAAACACTATATTACTAATGCTTAAATGTAGCTGGGAAACCAGACATTAATCTGAAAAAACAATAAATACCGTCTAATAATAAAAGAAGAGAAATGTAATACGTACGTTGCTTTAATAGGACATGCTATAAATATTTTTAAACATAACTGTAACAAATAATCACCAGTTAATAAAATGATTCAACCTGTTTTAGTATACATTTTATAACTAGAAAGTATCGTCGTCGTATTTCAAACGAGTTCTCGTTTATTAACATTCATTCGTAGTTTTAATTAACCGCTACATTATGATTTAATTTAATTACTAGCCCTTTAGATATTTAGAGAACATCAATTTCATAGGTTAATTTCAGACTACGTGTGATACATTCTTGTAATGCCAACACTTTCATATTGTAAAAATATATCTCGCTCTCTCCGAAGAAAATATTATTTTTCAGATAGAGGCCTAAATTGTCTTCAGTGTGTATTTAAGTACTAAAACAATCAACCGTAAAAGTTCCAAAAAACCTATAGGAAACTAGAATATGTTTTATAATTTTTGTAAAAATTTAACTTAGTTATCGGTTGTTGTTTGTTGTTTGTTATAGCAACTCAGTTATTAATAAATACAAGTTATTTACTAGGGATCGTATTCCGCGCCGATAACTCTAAAACATGGCGGCCTTATCCACGATATATTATGAATGCTTGCGTACCATAAGGCAGCATAAGGTTAGCGTACTGCATTTCGCAACGAAACGCGCCCGCCATCAGAGCGAAGCTTCCCGCGTAATTTTTTTTTTAAATTATTTGCAAAATAATCTGTGTTTGTGCCAGATCGAAAATGATTTTGTCTATGAGAAATTAATTATGGATTATTTATTTTCTTAATGTGAGAGGTGCGTTTGGATTGATTTCGTTCTATAAGAAAGGTAAATTTAACTATTTAAACTAGAAATATAAGTAACTGAGGCTAGTTTTTTTTGTCATATAAAATTCATAAATATTTTTTACGTCAATCGATTTAAAATTGAATATACATATTTTTTCTCAAGCTTACATTATTGAGAGCAAATTGTAATAATATTGTTTAATATTTTATTTACACAAAATAAAATGTTATGCACAATATATTTTTATTTAGGACAGTAACTAATTTATGCACAGCCAAGAATAATTTTCGGTCACGAAATTTAAGTGTTTTAATAATAAACTAAAATAAGAGTTTTATTGATTAAAATTTATTAAGCGATGTTTCAAGTCTTGATCACCCTTCACCTTCAGAGTTTTTGTGAACGGCCTGATGCAACCTCTGACATGAAGAATGGTTAAGTAAGAAAGTGTTGAAATGTGCGATTAAATTTATATCTTATGTTTAATTCAATACTGTTCTAAACTCACCTTCAGAAGTATTGGCAATTAGCACCTTATTTTAAATTTAAAACGCATATAAATAAAAATAGACTTTAAAAATGTTAAAATAATTCTGCCTTCAATTTTCGTCAACAACTGCAGTTGTGGACCGCTAGTTGTTGCATAAAAAGTGTTGTTTTTATTCTACAACTAGATTTTACCCGTGACTTCGTCCACGCCAAATTATAAAATCAAAAGCATGTAGCCATTGTTCTTCCAGACTATCCTCTACATCTATGAAAATTTTATCGAGATCCGTTCAGCAGTTTAGGCTACAAATTCTAACATCCATCCATCTAGATTTTTGAATTCATTATATAAATTAGAAGGAAAATTACAAGATAGCTTTCTCTCTTTGGTCAGTCATCAAATCATTTTGCCTCGCAATTCTGAATCCCAATTTAATTCGAACCATTTAACGGTCACAACAAATATGGCGTACAAACGTCAAAGTTATACCAAGATAATTTTATAGCCCCATTCGGTTCGACGTTAATTAAGTTCGACTTGACGTCAAACTTCAGCGAAGCAAAGTTTTACGAGACTACGCACTTATTTGATTTGTAGTTGACATACTTATGTACTGTTATAGTTAAAAACAAAATGTTATATTTCTCTGTAATGAGTTAAAATACGAATTATTACGAGTTACGTTATTTTAAACATAAAAATAGACTTTGATAAAAAAGTATAACACGTGATAAAATGGGCCTTCCCAAAAAACGATAGTGTTCCTAATACATTTTATCCTAAATAATATTCTGTTATACCGGGATTCTACACCCGGTGCGGATTTTTAACTAACCATGGTTATTAAAACATTATGCGTTTGCTTGCAAGATGCGATCTCTGCCAATAAATATATAAGTACTTATACTGAAAGTATTGTTGACATCCTATCAATATTAGCAGTTAAAACGCATTTTTAGTTATATTTTTTTGTGGTAATATAGCATGTTTATGAATTAATCTTAACCATATTAATTTAAATAGATTAATTGTCAGTCAAAAGTGAATCAAATATATATGTATATCAAACAAAATAACTAACAAATGAACAAAAACAATCATTGAATAATTTCCTCTATTTTAAAAAATGTGTCCAACTATGTGATTGAAATTTATTACATGCAAATTAATTAGGCGAAAGTGCATGATATGGGCATGTTATGAGTAGGGACTATTCGCATGTTACAAGGAAACTTTGGTTATGAGTGTGGTAGGATACACTGGTAGAGGCAGAGCTAGAAAGAGATGGTTGGATTGCGTGAAAGGTGACATGATCAAAAAGGGAGTGATGAGTGATGACTGAGATGACGTATGATAAAGTTATGTGGAGGACAAAAACCTGTTACGCCGACCCTACAGGAGTAGGATAAGGAGAAAGATGATGCTGACAGAAATTGTAAAAAGAAATTGAAAAAACTATTGTAAAAATATAAAAATTTTAAATTTTAAACCTTAAGAACAACAATTAGATAAGTAGTTCCTAATCGTTAGTTATAAGTATGTTTTGTGGAAATTACGTTGAGTTAAGCTTAAGCGAAGTGAACGTCGGCTAGGAATTGGTTCTAGGTCGAGTCACACAAAAATGAATCAAACTGAATGATACTGTAAATAGTATTTTGTATATGTTAAGTGCTTATTTCGAAATGACAGGTCGATATCTTTATACGCATTAGGTTTTGTACTTTATTTTTAGTAAAACAAAAAAACAGCTAGTATACAGTCCTATTTGATACACAATTTCAGTTGATTGAACATTGATTATTGCAATATTTTATTATCTTACTTAGCATTGTAATATTTATTAATAACAATTCCATTAATAATTAATAATGCAATTATAATTGGACACCAACTGCTAAAATATGTTTGAAAATTCTTTTAGAAGTTATTGACACAAGCTGTTGCTTGCGACTTTGTCCGCGTGGAATAAAACTAAAAAATATAACTAGCCTGAGTTATTCAGTCATGTCATAGCTTCCTAACGGTGAATTTTTTTTTGGAAATCGGAACAGTAGCTTTTGAGTTATTTCAATCATCATCATCACCAGCTCACTATACGTCCCCACCGAGGGGCTCGGAGCCTACCCTATTAAGGGGTGACTAGGCCATAGTCAACCAAGCTGGCCAAGTGCGGGTTGGTTGACTTCACACATAGCTTTGAATTTCTACGTCGATATGTGCAGGTTGCATCACGATGTTTTCCTTCACCGTAAGAACGTCGGGTAAATTATGTACATATGAAAATTCGAAAAATCGAAAATCACATTGGTACATGGCGGGATTCGAACCCAAGACCTGTAGATTACAAGTCAAGTATTCAAACCACTGAGCCACCGACGCGCCACTGAGCCATCAATACATTACATAAATCCAAATCTTTCCTCTTTATAATATTAGTATAACGGAGTATATTCAGAATAGGTCTAAGAAAATCTTCAGAAAGACCTAAAGGAACGGATAAACAACGATGATAGATAAAACACCGAATCTCCGTTAAAAGTAACATAAGTTAATTTTAACCGGTCCCGTGGACCACAACGACCGCAACAATCTAGTGTAGCCTTAACCTAATGCAAATGGTGGTAAATTCACGATTTAAGGCACTTTATAACATCGTACACAAGTGTTGTAAGTCAATATATGTTTTTTTTTCATTCATTGACTCATTCTGTTCTCACTCATTACCTCATTCCATTGTGTTGTCTCTACATTTAATATTGAATTAAATAAGTACTTAAAAATAAACAAAAAAAAGATACTGCAGTGCGATAGAATTAGGTTAATTTTTTTGTAAAATATCGTAGCAAGATGTAATTATAGAGGCAAATAATCTCGCTCTATTTCTTATCCGAAAAAAGTTACAAAAAAAGATAATTATCAATAAATTTCATAATACCCGGAAAACCTTCAACACCAAATAAAAATATAATAATTTTCTTCATTGATTTTCAATGATACGCTTTTTAAAAATGATCAATTCAAACTGCGCCTGCTGTTGATAGGTAGTTGATAAACAAGCATTATTCAGTCCAATTTAATATTTAGGCCAGTCTCATTATTAACGATTTACAATTGTTATGTCAAGAAATAGGTCTAGCGGCGGCACGCCACGCCATTGCTATCGATTTGCGAACAAGGCTTCGTATTGCCTGCTTCGCTTTTTAGGTTATAAATGGTAAAAATCGAGTCAAATGTGAATTTTGGAAAGGTATTACAGAGTCCTAGTTGAGTTATTAAAACAAATTTAGAGCATAAGATTTAAAACACTTTTTCTAGTGATAAGCAGTGCGATTTATTTGTACGACAGTCAAAGCCGCAGCAGTGGAAATAGCTTAGTTCATAGATTTAGTAGTGCGGCAAGTCACTTGGAGTGGTCTAATGTAAGTAAGGGATGATTAAACAAAGCTAAGGGCTAAAGTCAGGATAGGTGCGTTTATCACTTGTCAACACTGATTACAATAACATGTGAAGTTATCACAGTTCAAATGCAAACTTCCTGTTAACAATGGCTTATTGTTAAATTCGTGTAGAATGAGTTGTGAGCGAATTATACTCCAACTACATCAATTTACGATTTCGATTCTTTTAATTACTTTTTACACCTTTTTTATTAATTTCCGCAATTGCGAATTCGTACAAAAAATGAAAATGACTTTGTTTTCACTTCTTTTGCAAGGCTACTTTTTGCTTTTTTTCGCTCGAGTGTAAATAAAATTTGGATAACTTTAGTCAATTTCCGTATTCATTTATTACTATAATTGCAAAAAATATTTGATTTTCCGGTCATTTGGTGCTTTTTTTTTAAATAAAAATCTTTTTTACTACTAACATCAGATCATAGTTAGCTGGCTAAAAAAAACATAAACAAAACAACTTTTTTTTATTTAAAAAAAAAGAAAAAACAAAAATCGTTAACACTTTTAAGAAACTTTTAATAACTAGCTTTCGCCCGCGACTCCGTTCGCGTGGATTAAAAAAAAAAACAAAAGTGAGTAGTCTATGCAGATACACATAGGCTACTCACTTTTGTTTTTCTTCCTGACTATCCTCTACTTCTATACCAAATTTCATTGAAATCCGTTCAGCCGTTTAGGCTACAAACTTTAACAAACATCCATCCATCCAAACTTTTGCATTTATAATATTAGTATGAAGTGTGATGATTGAACGGACAGTCGTAAACTTTATAGGTACTGTAAGTTGTTTATTTCTTTTACACTATTGATATTTTGTTAGGTGCCAGGATCCTCGATCATCGACTTTATTTTTTTCTTAAATTATATGGCTAGTACTAGTATATAGACTTGCAATTAGTTAAGAATGAAATAGTTGCCACCAGAAGGTCGGGCTAGATGAGGTCGTGCATGGTTTAACGAGGCCGTGGATTCCCATTATGTTCTTCAACCTTGTTTTATGAAACCGCATTTTTATGACACAATGATAACCATTACCGGGTCTATTAAGAGCTTCGCAAATTACGCGATTAATTAGAAGATTTTCAAAATCAAGAAAAAAACCCAAAGTCATCAACATCAATATTTAACAAAAAAGGAAAGTGTGTGAAACGTGTATTGGCAAGATCGGTCTGTTTCTTGAATTTATACTTGAAAATTGATTTGCATACAATACACGAGTTACTTAAGAGAAAAGTTGCTTAGTAAGTAATTACCATCTTACGTTTTATATGTTTTATTTATGTTCCTATACTAGCTGTCGCCCACGACTCCGTCCGCGTGGAATTAACAAAAAAAACAACAAAAGTCAATCTCTACATCTAGACTAGATCCTCTACATCTATACCAAATTTCATCAAAATCCATCTAAACTTTCGCATTTAGCATTGACTTATTTATTACATGTGTGCCGTACAAACGGGTTCGGGTCCCGCGGCACAACCTACCCTTGAACTACGATTGCACCGGAGGGCATAATATTGTAAACGTAATGGGGAAAATGGTACTCACCAGCTCGATGAATTTGCGTCACCTCCTCCAGGTGCCTTGTCTCAGTCAATGTCAATCGAGTCAGTCTGGTTCAGTCAAGTCTATAGGCCCAGCGATGCTGCCTGAAGATGTATCAGCAATTTCGAACGCGAAACCGAATTTAGCGACCCCGTTCGCTATCGAAATCGACACGCCTGTTGTGTCGTCGCGTTATAAAAAGAGCAACTTTAAACCGCACAAGTGTTTGCGACCGTTCCGCTTGGCTGCTCGATTCCGACCTTTTCCTCGCACCCCTCTCCGCAGGCCCCGCGCCCGTCCGTAGTGGAGAGGGTTTATTCTTCTACCCGCCCGTGCGAGAAAAATAAAATAAGCGCGCTTACCCGCACTAAACCCAGGGCGCGAAAGACAAAATTAGGTTCGCCACCGAATATGGCGAACCCGTGCTATCTATACCGAACAACATGACTCCTGCCCTTTTATTCATAATTGCTTTTCTGCTCTTACTCTTATCGACGCCTTTCTTAATTTATATAATAGTTTTGTAACAGATTATTTGTTTATGTTTTGTTCAATATCTCATTAACACACGATATACTGTTTATTTAGATAATACTAGCTTTCGCCCACGACTCCGTCCGCGCGGGTTAAAAAAAAGAGAATCGAACGGAATAAATAGTGTCCTATGTCCTTCTCCTGACTCTAATCTCACCAATTTTCGCCATATCGGTAAAGCCGTTCTTGAGTTATGAATAATGTAACTAACACAAATTTCTTTTACATATAAAGATTGCTATCTTCATACTAGGACGGGCATAGATTATATAGAAGAACAAGAGGAAGACGAGAGAAATTCGAACATAGATTTTTCTTTTGGTATTTTTCAACAATTTTAGCGAGGGTTCTTTTGTTATTTGAAATTGCATAATCTTAATGACTACTGTTATTTTTTTAATAATTACAATTACCTAATATTATTTTATAGGTACTCATTGAGCATACATCTTTAAAGTTTCATTTCAATTTTATTTGTTATGCAAATTACATTTTTAGCTTATCTGTAATTGCTTTGAGGTATAATGTTTTTTGTTGCGTAAAACTAGTTAAATTCAGTAAAATAAGGCGTGTAATATTAGGCCTGGATTGACAAATAGCTGGTCAAATATATTACTTGTTAGACGATCGACATTCGCCATTAAATTTGTTATTAAAATAATGTAAAACCAAAAATAACGAATAATTAATCCTTGGAGCATTTATATTAATTTACATAAATAAAGGTTTTTGAAATTGCTTTCCTTTTATTATCAACTCCTGGTTATTTATTTCGCTTCTAAAAAGTGTTTAAACAAAACAGTCAAAACTTTCTTTTATGAGAGTATAATATAATAATAAATAATCTTTATTTAATTATTTTGATTATTGAACTTAATAATTGCTTTGATTATTTTATTACATTTCAGAGAAAAACTGTAAGGAACAGGTAATAAAATTAAACTTGACCTGAATCCTTGACGAGAATTACTCTTTGTCTTGATCTCAGTTTGTGTTCAACGGAGACTTAAATATGAGTTAATTCAAGCTCTGTTTATTATTAAAAGCTAATTCAATTCTTTAGATCACATCTTTAAAACTCACCAATCCATAAATTGTTATATAAAACCTTTGTCGTCTTTATATTAATTTTTATTATTAACTGGCGACATTTTTTGGGCTGAAAAAAAAATAGAAAGCCTTTTTCGTGTTCTTAAAGACTATTTTCTAAATCTGTGGTAAAGTTCATAGATATACATACTAAGCAGTTTTGAAGATACGTAGTTACAATTATCTATCGATCTATCCAAACATTTGCATTTATTTGTTGGTATTATGTTATTCGCATACAATATCTCTCTCTCTAATTAACTGGTATCCCAAATGATGGTGATGTCTGCTAACTTGCATACAATAATAAGTAATTTATCATGCTCTCATTAAAAAATCTTATTGAAGGTTTATAACAATGTTAGAATAATTGTTCGACTACTGTTAGTTACGTGAAATAAAACTAACATAGAGAATTTACGTAGTTATAATCTTAATGGTGAATAGTGTAACACTAGTAACATTGATAAATTCTACTTTATATAATAATAAAAACACACTATTTACAGAAATTAATAAAATTGCATTTGTTAAAAATAAAATGCTTCATAGTTCGCGTCACATTTTTCTCTGCCACAGTCAAATTACGTTGTACTTTCTTTATATTTACAAATATTTTTCTATTACTTTCTTGGCGGCCAGCATGATATTAATTATTGCTTGACCAAATGGAGCAAGTAAAAGTGTAAACAAGTGCATTAACAAGCCGTGTCCATGCTTTTGCCGCGGTCAAGGTTTTATATTAACATATTACGGTTGCGTAAATCCGAGCATTACTCAACACCATCGAAGGGATACATACATTTAAAAATGAGATACTTTTAAAAATGACTACTTCGGTTATATTTATATAGTTTTATTGTAGTTGAAAGGTAACACGTTGCTTTATTAATCCATAAATCTACAAAGCAAAAAAAAATAAACAACGTACAATAAACGATTTTCAGTACACCTGCAGTTAAAATGTAAGCCCACTAGCTGTTCAAACTATGTGAATATACCTTTAATCATATAAATTCTTTCTTACAGGTACTAAAGCAGAGTGAAAAAATGTATACAGAGTCGATAACTCCCACGGTATCTCTAAGTAGTGAACGATCATCAAGAACTAATTCAACAAATTGTGTAGACAGTGATTCGAAAGATAGTGATTCTGGGAAGGATAGTGCAAGTGATTCATTTAACAGTTTGATTGAGGAAAAAGCAGAAGAAAACTGCAGTAACTGTCTCGATGACTGCATCGACGTTAAGTGCACAGGTCCTCAATACTCTGTGCCGTATGGAGAAGATCATTGTAAAGTGATAAAGAAAAGATCTATATGTTGTAGTAAGTAGTTATTATCTAGATTTATTTTTATTACACTCCAATGTGACCCGGATTCCATTTAAATATAATTCTGATTGACTTTAATCTTATTATCTTACTTGCATTATTATCATACTATAATATAAAAGCGAAAGTTTAGATGGATGAGAGTTTATCTGAACGGATTTTGATGAAATTTTGTATAGATGTAGATGATGGTCTAAAAGAACGCATAGGTTACTCGCCTTTGTTTTTTTTAATTCCATGCCGACGGAATCGCGGGCTATAGCTAGTATACAGTTAAGATGGATATGACGGCCGATAGAATAACAATTTTATTTAAATCAACACCATTATTGATTTGGCATTTACGATCTGCCCGATATTTATTCATTACTTCTTGTTCTTATTTTGATTTCTTACGAATTATTTTACTTTATTTATACCTAATATAGTTATATTATAGATAATGTAAATTTTGTATTGCTGTATTTGTATTGTTTTTACTTTTCATCATTAGGTTGTATGACGCAATAGACTCAAAAAGTCGGTATATTGGTGACGTCAAAGGACAAGAACCGTTAAAGTTTTGTTTATCTGGCCAAGGAATTCTTTTTAAGGGTTTGTAAGTACGTTTGGATGTATATTAAATTATGGTTATTACATTTTCACGATCAAATTATTAATAACCTAAAAAGACAGAATATTCAATACTGAAGAAGTTAATATTGAAAAAGAAGTCGGATATGCTAGGAATTCGCCAAATCTATAATCTCTGCCTACCCTTTTTCGAAAGCCGGCCGTGAGACTTGGATTGTTCTTTTTTGTTATTTCAAATATGAGGAATGACAATATACGTCAAGCTGCAGTGGAAACCTACTTATCGCTGGTTACCTGTTTCTAATTAATCAGATCACGTCAAACTGTTACGTCGTGTTAAGTCCTTCGTCGCGTCACCGCTGACAATGAACAACCTGGCTTTGGATTATTATAATTACAGACGCGATACGCATAATATTACTCAGCAACATTTGCATTCTAATATTAATGTAATTCTACGTGATCGAGTAATAACATTCAATGTGATTCATTAAACTCCTCACCGTAATATTCATCTGGCAACTTACTGGTACAATAACATGTTCATTTGTTTCTCGAGGATGACATTATTTTGTTCCAGTGTTTTTGCAACGATAATAGAGGATTATGTCATCATCTTCCCCCTTACCCTACTCCCGTAAGGTCGGCGCAACTGGTCTTTGTATTCCACATACCTCTATCATACATCATCCCAATCACTCCCTTCTTGATCATATCATCTTTCAAGCAATACATCCATCTCTTTCTAGGTCCATCTCTACCGGTGTACCACACTCATAACTAACGTCCTCCTTGTTATGTCAAAAATATAACTTAATGATATGCAATTATTTGGATATCATGACTTTTTTTTCGCTCCGACTTGCGTGCCTTTTGATGTTAATGTCTATCATTATAATTTGTACAAAATTCATCAACGCGATCAACCGCAACCAAATTCCAAAATGGCGAGAATCGTATAGATACAAAACACCACAAAATAACCGGTCTATTTATACAGATCAGTGTATTATGTTAAAGATCAAATAATAATATCTAAAATATTGCCCATATAAATGGGCAATATTTTTTAAGCAATTGATCTCACCGTAAAACTTGATGTTTTGATGATGACCATAAAGATATTCTATAATAAGGTTATAAGTATTGAACATTTTAGTTAATCACCGTTTGACCGTATATGGTTTAGGTAATAAAAATATAATAGCATGGTAAATTATAGATTTCGTATGTTTTTTTCCTTATTCCAGATACATTAACTTTTTTAAGAAAAACCGATAAACCAGTTTAATAAAAGGTACAATAAAATATTTCGGCTATTTTACTTTTTTTAATCATTTACATACATTATTAACCGGTATTAGAACTATTGGGTGGTATTTATATAAGTTGGCAATAAGAATATTCTATGACGTGAGGAGATCTTTACATTGGTCGTTGTAGATTTTCTTTTATTTATAACGATGTTTTAAAATGGTGGTGGTGGTACGGTGAAAATAAAGTTACAAAAATGTATTTCACATTTAAATGAGTTTGTAACAAAACAAAGATAACTCATCTATACTAAAATTATAAAGAGGAAAGATTTGTATTTTTGACCGACTTCCCAAAAGAAGGTGGTACTCAATTCGTCTGTATGTTTTATTTTTTTTATATGTGTGTTATTGTATGAATGGAAATAACTCGAAAGCTAATGTTCCGATTTCAAAAATTCTTTCACCATTAAAAAGCTACTTTATCAGTGAGTAGCATAGGCTTTCTTTTACGCGGGAAAATTCGTGAGCATCAACTAGTTAAGCATAATATTATAATAACTCCAAAATTATTGGCCCATTAAAAAAAATCATTAATAAGCTACGTTTTCACTGAGTAACATAGTGTTAATACTATTTTTTTTAATTCCACGCGGACGAAGCCGCGAGCAACAGCTTTATAATTCGTCGTCGCCACAGAAAATAAAAAACTATACTCGTATGTCGTCGTCACAATGTTATATTTCGTGACATTTGACCGCAACATGTGCAATGTGCCATTTACTACTTCCAGCTCATTAAAACTATCTTGCGAAATGATAACATATTAATCTTTATGCATCATATTTAATGTTAGTTACACTAGATTGGTTCACAATACACGAGAGTTCACAGTTCACACGTGTTCTATTACTTCACGTGTACCAGCAACGCTTAAAATGTGATAAGTATGCGATGACCTTTATTTTTGTAGCAATTTCATTGCAGAAATATTACGACCATAATTATTCAATAATATCAAATGTAAAAAGAACAACACAGCTTCAAATATCTTCAAGTTCTCAAAATTTTTAAAGAAAATCTTTATTAGTTTCGTAACTTATGCCTAACTTAATGTTAACTTATTTCTCAAATTGAGGATATTTAGCGAATAAAAGGAAATTATCTTCTGATCATCCGTTGACTTATTCGGTCAAGAACAATTTAATATGCTAATTTTCGTAACAAACGTTTTGCATGATGAAATTGCTAATGCAGTGTACGAAAAAGAAATAAAAAAAATTGTTTTCTATACTAATATTATAAAGAGGAAAGATTTGTATTGTTGTAGCTATGTGTATAGTTATAACATTTTTGTATGTATTGAAGTAACTCAAAAACTACTGGGCCGATTTCAAAAGTTATTTCGTCATTAGAAAACTACGTGAATAGCATAGACTATATTTTTAAAATAGAGAATTGTTGTAAAAAAGACAATTATAAATTCTCTAATAATAGTCGACATGAGTAGCTTGCACTTCTAGTAACCGAAGATTCCTGAATACTGAAATCTCTAGTTACTAGACTTACAGAGGGTTAGGGTTCCGGTGATTCCCACGGAGATCCCGAAATCGCTTTCTATTGCACTAGAGGCTAGCCGCCGAGGGAGTTTTAGTGGGTACAAACCTCACATAATCCTGCCTTCGCCCAGAAGGAAGGGTATCTTTTAAAAGATTTCTCCCCCATACCAAAAAAGGCTTATCAGCGGGTAAGAAAAAATGTTCTAAGTTAAAAGAACGTAGAGGTAAGTACTAATAAGTGTTGGACTAAACGTGTGTAGAAATAAACTGAGTTGAAGGACCCAAAGAAGATTATCCGATTATTTATTTATACATATAATTATTTTTACTTACGTACAACAGATCCTGTGACGCAGACGGTATGGGGCGTGCTGCTAATCATAATGTCCATCAGCGGTTTCGTCTTCTCTCCATTAGACTTCATGCTGTGGGAAAAGTTGAATATGAGACCAGGTTAGTTCCATTTGCTCCTAAAGACCACAGCTGCTTTAATTTCTTGATCCCTTAACTTTTAATCATAAATTCAGAAATACATAATTTTTGTCATAAATAATGTAGCTATCAACTGTCCTAACACTTAAATAAAAACTTACTGTCATCTTTAATGTTACAAAAAAAAACAGAGGCAACGACTGACTGCCCTAAAACCATATAAAGACTATCTGCTCATCCTTTCAAGCGTATATCTATTTTGAATTCTAGGTCTACCACCATATGAATGGTGGGCTAATCCACCTGATGAAGTCAAAATGCGTGCCTACGTGTTCAACGTGACCAATCACGAGCGATTTATGAAGGGACTCGACAAGAAATTAAATTTACACGAAATTGGTCCAATTGTTTACTTGTAAGTAACACAACATAGTTAAAGATAATATAAACATAAGTAGATTTCTTTACTTTTTTTTGTATTATAGTGACAAGAGGAGTTTAATTTTGGTTTGCGCTTAATTAATTAAGCGCAAACCAAGTATAGGCAATAGGCTAAGCTGTATTAGTACAGCTTAGCCTATTGTTACATAAAATTAATCATCATTATTAGGATAAAAAAAAAACAATTAAAAAACCACGTTAACCTGTGTAATAAATGTCGATATTCAATCAATCAATATTCTACGAAATGTCTTGTACTTGTTTATTGCGTGTCTGACTGAAGCGTGCCTATTCAAAAGATACAGCATCTTTATAGGCACGGAAAATACATGGTATTTAGGTATATCATTGAAAACGTAAAGTCAGATTGCGTCAACTTTATATAATTCTCGGGTCATAACACATCGAAGTCAATAGACCCTTCAAAATTCACCTCTATTTGCCGCTTTATAACACAAAAAAAGTTTTGTTTAAATTGACTTTAACCGTGGGATTTTACTGCCGAAATATCTCTACATGATTTTGATAACCGTATCATCATTCGCATTAAAAAGGCAATGGAATCCCTAGGTTAACACATATTTGCAAAGATAATATTTGCTGTATTTGATGATCGATTGCCGTTTGTTTTTATTCCAGAGAAAAGCTTCAACATTACAATATTAAATTTAACGAAAACAGTACTCTTACGTACACGGCCAAGAGGTCGCTAATTTACTTGCCGGATGAGAACACTTACGACTTGAATGCCACCATTATTGTTCCTAATTTAGCTGTTTTGGTAAGTTAATGTCACTTTTACCAATTTTTTACTTTTAATATTTAGTATTTAGTGTCCCTTTTTTAAGAAATAACCTAAGTTGTGGCGGATCATATCTTACGATCTTTTGATTGTCAATCATGAGAAAATCTGCAAGCCATTGTAACTTCCTTTGTTCGTCTAATCGTACATTAACCCGAGATTGTTTCGATAGTTCGCGATTCACAAACTGTATATGAAGTGACGTTTGTTTCTCATAAACACAATCGGTCCTTACAAAAGACGAGTGCCAGTTACCTTTAGTTCGTGACCCCTGTATGTCAGGGCTTGAAGTAATTATATGATAGATAGAAACGGATGTTAATCTTTCCTTGGGACAATATGTCATTATTATTTCATAATAGTGTATGTGTTAATAACAGTCTCTGAAAGTAAACAACCGATTGTGATAACTTTAAAGTTAAAATCGCTCTTGGGCAACGAGGCACGTGCATTTTAAATATGTTTAGAAGTAACACTTTTTTCTTATTACGATACAGTTCAAACCTTATATACGCGTCATATTATAATCCTGTAATTTTCCATTATGGCCCATCAATTCAATCATATACGAATTTAATCTCTTCGCGCATTATCCTCTTTTACACAAGTTATGCATTATTTGATTTTACCTATCTAGTTTTTAAAATTTAATAACAATACTTTCTTGTCTCCCCATTTTATATAAGCGACTAGCTCTTGCTCGTGAATTTGTCCTCGTGAAATTTAAAAAAAAATGTAAAAACATAGCCTATGTTACTCAGTGTTAACAAAGCTTTTTAATGATCCAAGAGTTGCTGAAATCGGTCCAGTAGTCTTTGAGTTATTTCAATACATATAAAAATCCATAAATACAAATCTTTCCTCTTTATAACATGAGTATCGAGTATAGGTTACTATAGATATAGTATATAATTCTATTCTCTCTGGGCCAGAACGGTTAAATGATAACAAACGGAACTCATGGTCGTTGTTATACCTCCAGGGTGTTATTTTGATCTTATCATTTCCAGGGCATGGCTTCTTTTCTTCATGACTCCAACTACTTCGTCCGTACGGCGTTTCGGCTCTTAGTTAATGCGCACGGCAGCGAATTTTTCATCAAAAGGACTTTGTATGAATATTTATGGGACTACAGAGATCCCGTACTGGCGACTTCGAAAAACATCGTCCCAGCAATAGTGCCAGTTGATAACATGGGATTTTTAAAAAGAGTATGTTAAAATTATTGGACATATTATGTTATTAGGGCAGATAATATTTTTTTAAATAAAAAATTACAACGGACTGGCTTGTCCCAACAAGGACTGGTTCACGACTTGAGCAATTTGACCTTTGAATAATTTGGACCGTCCGTGGTATGTAAATTTCAGTATGGACATTTCGAAAGCAAAAAAATATGTTTTACAATAATTTAAAGTTAAAACCATTTCAATGCAAGGTCATCTGGGTTAAACCGTTTACAATGAGAAATAATTTTAATGCAATTGTCTGGATAAAAACAATATATAATTACTGTTATTTTGAATAATATTTTTTCAGACCCATCATTTATTACCCGCAAAAAGTATTAATTAAACAATTAATTTTTAAATGAATAGGTATACAGTGACTTTACAGACGAGGTGACTGTGGACATTGGTCCCGAACGGGGTCACGATAATTTCTTCCAAATCAATCGGTTTAGAGGACAGCCGCAGTTGCCAGGATATGATCCCGATGTAGGTTCTTAATTTTGTTAATATTTTAAGTACTCGGATACGATAAAATTCATTCATTAAATAATTTTGGTTTATTATAGACGTGCCCAGATCGTATATTTGGATCAACGGAAGGTGTTATGTACCATCAGCATATCACCAAACAAGACGTCTTATTGTATTGGAGAAAAACTGTTTGCAAACTTATGCCTTTATATTTTGAAAGTGAGTATTCTGCTTGTACGTTGTTTTTTCCATAGCTTCTGAAAAGCGACGTGTTGTTTTGCATTGTCAGAAAAGTACATTTAACAGTTTTTTTTCAATAAAACTTATCGCTTTGTTCATAGGTGAGTTGTCTATGGACAAGGTACCTTTGTACAGATACAATCTATCCGAGGTGGTGTTTGAACGCGTGCGGAACAACACCGATTGCTATGATACTACGCCCAGTCTGCCGTCGGGACTCAGCGATGCCTCAAAGTGTTACTTTAGTAAGAGTATATAACTTATAGCAAACATAAACTTTGGATTTTAATGTAATAATATATCTATACCGCTTCTGTACATTCACTAATCTTTGATCGCAAGCTTCTTGGGAGTAAAACGTAGTATAACATCGACGTTTTACTATAACTAAGTACTTTATATGACATTCAATTTGTTTATTTCATAATTTCAGATTTTCCTATAGTGGTATCATATCCTCATTTCTACACGGGGTCGCCTCCGAAGGACCTCTACGTCACAGGTCTCACGCCGGATCGAGAGAAGCACAACTCTTACGTTATTGTTGAACCTGTACGTATACTTTGTAAATTATAATTCAAAAGCAAAATTCCGCGCTGTCAAAATGGCGAGCGGACCGCTATCTCTTGAATGGGTGGACCGATATTGACGGGTCTTTGATGGCTAGCTGATGCACGGCGAATATTATAGAGGGACGTTTTTTTTAAAAATAACGAAGGTTGCGGGCGACAGTTCGTTGTAGATACAATATATTACAGCGTTTTGTTCATAGTCTAGGAATTGCATCTTTTCAAAAATTTGAATCTTTAAATGGCTTAATAATTATTGCAATAGTTATAACTATACAATCGTTAGGGCCTATCCCACCAAATTGTAAATTGTCTAATAACAATCCAACGTGTAAAATATTTGATGGAAATATCGGATTTTATTCCCCTATCTGACAGTGACGTCATTTTTAAGTTATCTATCCCTCTATCAGCTAGTGGTGGGACAGGCTCTAAGCGTTTTCAGTATTTACCATCTTGTTTTAGATAACCGGTGTACCGTTCCGTGCGGTGGCGCGGATGCAGAGCAACCTGCGGATGCACGACCTCTCATTGTTCACAGCCGAGTACAGAAGATTCTCCGGTCATGTTATACCACTGTTTTGGGCGGAATATGTAAGTTAGCTTTTTAAAATTACAAATACAAAACTATACAGCCATTACAGTTTAAAAGAGTTGCGACAAACCAAGTAAATATAACTATACTTTCCTAATTATACAATTAATGTTGTCTGTGGTCCTATTTATTAAGTTGATCTACTGTTAAATATTTGACCAAATATCCATACTTGCTCTTCTCTTTCAGTATTTATTTTTATCTCTTTTTTCAGAGTCAAGAAGGTTTGCCGACGGAAATAAAATGGACAATTTACTTTATGGTTGTAATACTGCCGCCGTTGTCGGTTGTTATTTTTATTACGACCCTACTGCTCGGTAGCTTCCTCATAACAAGACAAATGTATGATCTTAAAATTATAAAGAAATTCATACCCTGCATAATACAATTGAAGAATAAAAATAAGACTGTAGCAGCTAATAAAATATTTGTATATGAAAGGGAATCGTTCATTAAATCACCTAGCTAATACAGGTAATTTTAATATTTTCTTTTATATACTAATGGAAATTTATGAACGAAATTTGAGACTGAGTGACTACAGACTAATTTTTTTTTATCGCTCTTACCAAATACTTAAATGTTTTTAACAATTTTGTTAAATGCAAAAATAAAACCAATCACTTACAATTTTATTCTGATTTTTCTTAATATTCAAGACTATAGATGTCTAGACTAGATTAGACCTCACTTGCATTAATTGGCAATGGGTAAGCACATTTAATTATATTTCGTCAGGTTAATTCCATTTTATATCTTATAAGTACGGGGTACACGGAATATTGTTATGCTATAAATGTTAGTATTGCTTGGTGAATACGTTATGTAAATGATTTGTCTTTGTGCTTTCCCAAAATAAGCAAAACATGTAAATAGATAGATATAGGTTAAAATTTTTTACTTATAATAACATAATAATTTGATAATAATAGATTTTTATAATACGTATACAATATAAGGGAGGGTATTGTGACATATATACAATATTACTTGGAGTCTACTGAATTATCTATAAGAGTGTAGGATAACAGAAAAAGCGTATGTTGCTTAATTAATATCCTACTATTGCGTAACAAATTGAATTATTCTCACCACTTCTAACTTGTAGTTACCGTAGTTACGATACCTTGGTTTGAAAGAAAATTTAATTATGATATTAATCCCTAGATTCCATAATGCAAACAACTTATTGCTATTGGTACGTCCGCTGTGCGGGTATTTTATTGTATTTCTGGGGTAGTTTATAGCAGTGATTGTTCCTATTGTAAGTGAAATTCGTACATATTTGCTCATAAATAGCTTTACACTATTTTTAAATAAAGAATTATAATAAAATGTTTTGTGTTTGTTTTTACGTCTCACCTCTATATAATTGATTTTGTACTTACATTCATATAATAAGATAACACTTTGTGTTTCTGGAAATTAAGTCGTATTCCTACAGCACTTTGATGAACAAAATAAAGTTATACAGTTCGTTTTGGATTCGCAAAACATTGTACACTGAAACACATGCATTTGTGTTCAAAGCCTAGTTCGTATAAGTTTCATATTGTAAATAACCTGTAACATTTTTTAAAACCGTTCCGAGGTAAAATAATACTTTACGGTAATTGATTAGATATTTAAAAATATTTTAAATCCACCAATCGTAGAAAAAGTAAAATATTTTAATTATGCTGGTAACATCAAATAAAGTAATACGTGGTTCACACTTCGACGTACAGTTAGACAGTAGTAGTACTAGTCTAGGCTTGGATTGAATGTACCCTTTGGCTCCAGTTACTGTTCACACCATAATACCAGTCCAGTTATTTATCAATACTGACAAATTCATCAGTGAGTCCATACTATCTATGCCTAGCCGGCGCAACTGTTCAGTTGTACTGTCCGTAACGGTAAGTTAATGCCAGTCATACTGGCCAAGTGTAAACCGCGCATAACAAGTAACATGACAGTGACAGATGACAGCAGTAAGTGGCAGGAAAAATAAGTTTACTTAACTTTTAATTTACGCGGGTGTATACAAAAAACATATTTTTTGCTGAAAACAAAATGCAAATAAATTATGAGAGTTCCATAAACATCTAATAGGAGACATGATTACCAGTAAAACTTAATATGAGTACTGAGAATAATAAAGATTGGATTTTGTGTCGGTCATATAGGTTTCCTAATAAGTGTTATTATTTTAATGTTCACAATGGTGAATCTATATGGGCCGGTCCAGAGGTAGGTAGAAGGTCCATATAATTATTTATTTCCACATAAATTTATATGCTTCTTGTCGTAATACTCACGTATGTCACTTTGTTACAGAAGAAGGCATTACTGAATACAGACAAGAGTACGCCCGATTTTAAAGAACCTAAAATTAACTTAAACAGTGATGTTAATACAAATAATGTATTTGATGAAGTTGAAAATAAATTTGAATTAAACTATGACAAGTCACAAAAGCAGGACAACCAACAATCTGAAACATTCATAACTAATAAAAAATCTCTACTTTTACATTCTCAAATACATACTCCAATAAAAGATAACTCAATAAAACTCTCAATAAAAGATAACAAACAAACAATTCAACTACAAGATAAAAAAGAAAAAAAGAAAGTACTAAAAAACTGTAAAACCCTATTCCAACCCGTTTTGGATGATGGTCAAGGTCACACTAATAATACTTTAAATGGTATTAAATGTGGACAGGATTCTTTTACAATGTGTAACAAACCCGTATACAATAGACAGAGAAAAGTGATATGCGATCCTCATATAAAATTCCAATTATCTCAGGATAGTAAGAGTGAAGATAAAGAATCACTGTCATTAATAACAAATAAAATTGAAGATATAAATCTACTTGGTTCTTCCAGTGAAATGCAGACAGGTATTTAAGTATTTTTTTATATATAGGTTAATTCTAAAATTTGTATATACAGCTAAAAACTTAGAACCTTAAGAAAAACATGTGGTATAAAGTTAAACTTAGGAATAAACTGAGTATAAGCAAAATTTGTACTAATGTTTGCTAATACAAAAATTATGTAAGTAATTTGGATAGCAAAATCAAACTACTTTAAGTTATAGCATCATTACAAAAAGAAAAACAATATAAAGTCAAACTTAGAACTGAGTACAAGCAAAAGTTGTTTAGTACAAGTTTTTTTTTATTTGCTTATACTTGGTTTATTCCTAAGTTTAACTTTATACCACATTTATTTATAAAGATGCTATAATTTAAAGTAGTTTGATTTTGCCATCAGAATTACTTACATAATTTTATTAATCTACACTATTATAATAAAGCGTGAACACACACTTCTTTGTTGCCTAAGATGTCAGTAATTATAGCATATTTTTGACTTTTTTTTAACAAAAAGCCCTAAACTTGCGTCACACTTTAGGCTATATATTTTCGCAACATTAAACTTAGGGGGTAAGTCTTTTGGATAAAAACCCTAATGTGGGAAAAAGACCATAAGTTGCTGTCAACATCAAGAAAGCTGGATTGCTAAGGTTTATCAGGTCATGTCATTTTGACATTGGCTATTATTGTACAGACAAATGCAAACAATAAAATAAAATTTTCATAATTCATGCGGGTGAAGCCGCATGGGAACAACTAGTATAATATAAGTAAAGTCAATGATAGTAGTTTTTATGCTGTGCAACATATGTTTTACCTATAGCAATTTTCATTACTCTTGTATGATATAAACTCTAGATAGTTTTTAATTTATTGATAGCTAGCTGTTCCAGTGCGGCTTCATCCGCATGAAATGTCGAAATTCAAATGCACAAATGACAATTGCTTCCTTGATGTTGGCAGCAACTTATGGTCTCTTTCCCATATTAGGATTTTTATCCGAAATACTTATCCCCAAGGTTTAATGGTGTGAAAATATATTGCCTAAAATGTGACATAAGTGTAGGGCTTTTTATTAAAAAAAGAACTATTCAAAAATATTCTGTGATTGCTGACATCTTAGACAATAAAGAAGTGTGTGTTTACGCTTTTTTATAATAGTATAGATAGCAAGAGATATGTATATATTTTTTTATATTTAGGTGAAAATGAATGTGACAATTTCATCAAGCAACATGACCAGAAGTGGTTCATTTTCCGTAATGAGTCACAAAATGAAGAGATTTTCAAATTTCAACCATTTGGAAGGAATTCAATCTGTAACAATGTGGAAAAGCCCCTGAGTAAAAACATGGCAACAATAAAACATGAAACAAAAGATATTTGTATTATTGTGATAGATTTAAATGTGTTGCTTAATGATTTTCAATTTGTTAACGACAAAGTACTGCAAGGTATGATTTTATAGAAAATTTTATGTTATAATAGTGTTTTATCTTAGATATATATATCTGTACTATGTAGTATGTATCCTTTTTAATTGTTTTGTCTGCAACTTCATACAGAATTAAAAATACTTAGTAAGTTGCTAAAGTGTTCTTCCAGACTATGTTTCACATCTGTGTTAAATTTCATCAAAATTAGATAATACATCTTAGAGATACATAGTAACAAATATCCATCCATCCAGATTCTCACATTTATGCATTTTGCACATTTTGATTTTAAAAACTTAGTGTCCTTCAAGAAGCGAGCCTTTCATTACCCCAAAGACCGGCAACGCATCTGTAGTTCCTCTGGTGTTGCGGATGTCCATAGGCGTCGCTGACCACATTGGTGTTCACGCCGCTCGTTTGCCCCCTTTTATAATAAAAAAAAATAAATTAGTATGTTACAATTTTTTATCTTCGTATTTCAGATACAAGATACCGTTTAGTCATACCTAATGCAGTTATATCAAAGTTAAAGAGTTTAGCTGAAATGAAACATAAAAGCCATCAACTAATGGTGACAGCACAGGACTTGATTTGGAAAATACCAACACAATCGCGTCACATAAGTAAGTAATTTACAGTTACTTAACCCTTTATATACTTTGTTGTAGCAAAAAAATGATTTTTTTAGTAGTCATATTTTTGGATATTTAATATGAATGTGGTAATACAAAAAAAAATAAAGTTTTTTTTTAAATTAGTTGACACTGGACACTATTAAATTAAAAGTTAAATCCGTTTTAAATGGGCGCTGCTCAGTGTCAGAGTGGAAAAAGCCTTTTGTTATTTCTTTTGTTTTTATGTTATGTTTGAAGCACCAACAACCATTAGGCTTAAACAGGGTTCCGATCCTGGGGGTCGAGGGTTCAAATCCCGCCATTCGATTACTGTCGTAAACCATATCCTGGTACAAGCCTAGAGCATAATTGAAAATTAGCAAATAAATCTCCTAATATATTTCTAAAAAATAAATAAAACAAGAATTTCCTTGCATAAAAATTATTATTCTTTTATATGGATATCTTTAAGGATGAAATTCTAAAATGTATACCATCATAAACTATTTGTTGGTTAAAAAAAGAAAAAAAAATTTTTGGTAAGCATTGTCAAATAAGTAAATAAGGTTTATATCAAAATATGTACAATAATTTTCAGTACTAGAACCAGAACAACCTACAGCAACACAACAAATTATAAATTGTTGCAAAAAAATTAAAAACTTGAATTACAATATGGTGAGTAAAATAATGTAATTTATTTAAAAAATAATGTTGTTTTTATTTCATAGTATTAAGAAACTACAGTTTTTTCAGCTTTTTTTCTCTGTAGTAATTCCATATGTTTCGTGTTTATTAATTACTTGAAAATATTGAAATATTGTGATTTTACAGATTTTATTAACAAATGATGCCGACCTTTATACAAATGCGATTGACCAACATTTCACCTGCTATATGATACAGGATGTTAAAGAAGGATTATGTCCTTCATTATTTACTAAGCCTCATATACATAATCAAGATAAAGATATAAATAACAATCTGTTCCTACAAAAACCTGAAGAAATTGCATTTAATTTTTCACAATTAATAACCGATGTTTACGAAAGTTATCCATTGTTTGAACATTTTTATACAGAAAAGCCGGGTTTAAAAGAGATTGTGAATGAAAAATTTGAAAAATACAGTTTAACAAATTGTCAAATGGCGAGTTTTATTATTTTGCGTACTGAAGATTATATGTGCACTTTTACACAAATTATGGAGACATTTATGTCAGATTTGTTACTGGTAATTATTTTATTAAGTTTTCCAAAAGGGCTGTAAAAAGGATCCGAAGAGATTCTCTTAATCTCTCTAAAAAACTAACACACTTGTTTGAAATGACAACGTAGTAAATATTAAAAATATTTCTGTCCCTTTTTATGTTTTACTTTGTCTCTCTCTTGTAACGAAATTTAGCAAATCGTGACGCACCTTGTAATTATTCGATTTTCTTTGAAATTCCGAATTAGTGTTAATTAAATTCAAGTTAAAAGTCACATTTAGGAAATTTATAACTAGATTTCGCCCGCGATTCTGTCCGCGTAAAAATAATAAAAAAAAAGAAAAGTATGTAGTCTATGTGTTCTTCGACTTTGCTTTACATCTAATCCGTGATCCGTTCAGCAGTTTAGGCTACTCTAACAAACGTCCATCTAAACTTTCGCATTTATAATACGAGTAAGATAGTTTTTTTGTGTTGTTTCAGAATGAGAGTATTAACTGTGACTTTTGCTCGATACCGCAGGCGGTAGACGCATTAGCGCAATTATATCCTGATTCCACGACTATACAAATAGTCGCATATAGAATGGCGGCTTTGTATAATTTAATTAATAAAAAAAGTAAGTTTTTTTTAATATGTAAGTTGGCACGTATAGCAGAAGAGTAGTCTTGTTAATGGTGTGCCAAACCAAGTACAATATTATCTCTTAGAATGTTAGTCTTTTTTTCAGATAAACTTGAAACTAAATACAAGGCAGATATTTTAATAAAGATGGTAGGCTGTGGAAAAATTTTGGTGGAATCTATAAAGGTAAAAATTTTGTATTAACAAAATTATAATTTTATTGTTTTTTTTTAGTTTACTTTATATAAAAATTGCTGTGGTGTGTCATGTCAAGAAAAAAATCATCAAATAGCATGTGTTTCTTTTTAGGCTCTCAAACCTAATTCAGATATTTTGTTGGAGACGGAACATTTGTTAGACAAATTACTGCAAAGTATCGAGAATCCAAACCGTTTTGACAACGAATTGGAACAATCGAAAATAGTAAGAACATGTAGTTCATCGTATGGAGGATGTAAGTGAATAAGTGGAAATTTTTTAAAAACGTTTAATTAAAAAAAAATACTTAAATGATTTTTTTTCTAGATGACATCAAACCTGAAAATGTTTATTATAACGGACATTATACTGATATAAACGGAAATGAAGAATTATCGAAACAAACAGTAAGTATGAAAAATCAGAGAATTTTTTTTTTGTGATGTTAGTTAAATTATTTTTATATTTTTACTTTGTCTTTTTCAGAATTTTATAAACAACCGTATAATTCGTACAACTGGCAAAAATTTAAATTCTTTAATAATCTCTAATAACAACGAAATCGTGTTAGACGTTGAAAACAATGTCTCTAGTAAAAGCGAAGAAAAAAATAATTTTGACATAAAAATAAACTTGAATATAGACAAAGAAGACATCACTAAGCAAGTTTTTGATTCGTCTGTACACGAAAATGCTTTCACGGTTATGGAAAACGCTCCTAAAGTTATTAGAAATTTTGATACGATTAAAACTTTCGAAGAAAAAATAGGGAATAAATTAGAAAACATAGATACAAAATCTAATTTGAATTTAAAAGATTGTAATAATATTAAAGATTTGGATAAAATAAGCGAAACTTATACGGATATAGCTTATCAAACAGAAGTATATAATAGTGAATCTGTTAACGATAAATTAACAGAAAATCTAACATTAAGTGCCTCCAACGATAGTGGCTTAGGCAAGGGTTATTGTGACGCATATTTGGTGATCAAAGAATTCACTTCCGAATTGAGTTCCACTTTGAAGATTGTTTACGAATTTATGTGAGTGTGATATAAAAAAATCAAGCACATTTCTTTGTTATTTAGAATATCTATATTTAATAAAAAAAACCCCTATACTTACGACACGCTATCTTATTAATATAAATGCAAAAGTTTCGATGGATGAATGTTTGTTAGAGTTTGTAGCCTACTGCTGAACGGATTTCGATGAAATTTGACATAGTTGTAGAGTATAGTCTGGAAGTACGCATATGCTATTTACTTTTTTAAAACCACGCGGAACAAAGCGGGCGAAAGCTAGTACTTAATACAAAAAACTAACACACATGTTTGTTACGTCAGCAATCACAAAGTATTTTAAAAAAAAATGTTTTTTTTTTATAGAAAGCCCTACAGTTACGCTACAGACTATATATTTTTACGCTATTTATTTATAGTGTGAATAAATTGGAAATAATTGATAGATAGACATCTCATTTGTTTTCAGAAATGACACTAGTCAAGTATTACGACAAAAAAAAATCAAACCTGAGAAAAAACGTGAGATATTTGACAAAGCTTACAAAACTTATCATCGTATGTCACTTGTTGTTGACAATTTGAAGAAGTAAGATTTTTTTATCTATTAAATAATTTGTGTGCTGGCGTAGATTATTAATATAAATAAAAAAAAATAATAAAAAAATAGAAACCTCATAAAAAATAATATCGTTTTAATTAAATTTCAGTATATTAAAAAGGGAGAATGACGGGGAAACGACAGTGGTGACGCTGCTGCAGCGAGCGGGCAGCGACGTCAACGACAAGATAATCAACAAATACAAGTAATATAATTCTCATATACTAATGGTTTATATTATACACACTTTGTTATATAACATGTCAGCAACCGCTATAGATTTACAAGCACGGCACGAGTTTTTATTTTTTAAATACCAGTAGATTTTTATTAATTTTTCTAATATTTCCTTTAACTATTCCAATTAAGCGTACGGCGGGATTCGAACCCTCGACCGCAAGATCGGTAGTCCATACCCCAAACTATTAGGCTATTGTCGCTTTAATTGATGAATTAGCTGGTAATTAATCTGGTATTTGAATTGTTTTCCTCGCGATAAATTTTTTTTAATGTATAATTTCATAATAGTTTACATTTCTTAAAGTGCCAATTATATCAAAACCATCTTTACAATGCGATATAAAGGAGGCTACACCTTAGACTAAACTATCACACAACTGTTTAGTCTCGCTTTGATTCTTACGAGCTTATATGGAGGTGCACATACTACTCGACTTTTATTTGTGTAAATAAACAGTAGAAGGCTGCAAAACAATCGACAATCGCACAACTGTTGTGCGATGGTTTAGTCAAATGACTCTCCAATCTTATTCTAAACAATGTAGAAGCGAGATAACAATGTATAGATGTTTCATATTTGATTTTTTCTGTTCCAGGGAAATAGTTACCGCTTATTTGGAGCAAATTGATCTCTTACAGCAAGCTTTAAAAATTATTTATAATAATACAAATAGTAATTTAATATCTAACAAAGAAGTTACAAATACATGTTAGCTTATTTTTAAACGATCTGCCTTTCATACTTAGAATTAAATAGCCCTTTAGGGCCTGTCCCACCTCTGACTGATAGAGGCTCAGATAGCTTAAAAATGACGTCACTGTCAGATAAGGGAACAAACTCTGATATTTACATGACGTATTTTACACGTTGGTCATCAGACAAATTTACAATTTAGTGGGACAGGCCCTTAGTATTAGAGAGTATTGGTGACGCAGTGTAAAGTTGAATTCAATAGAATTTGGTGGGACAGGCCCTTAAACAGCCTTTATATCTGTAATCATATAAAATAGACACAGAATCATATTTGTAGCATGAAATGCTGAATTTTTTTAAAATAAATCCATAGGTAATAAACACCAGACAGTGAAATAAATACAATTTTCTATTGAACTCGACTGATAATTGTTAGATATGATCTCGATTGAAGACTTGAAAACTATACCATTGTTTATAGTATATTTGTCTTATTTATAAGTGTTTAACTTTTTTAAAGTTTAAGAAAATACGTTAAAAAGATTCAGTTGCTCTATGTTATAGCTATTAGATGTTACTTGACATATTACAATTTAATGGTTAATTTAAGAAAAATGTGCAATGCGGCCACAATAACATGATTATGTGAAGTTCGAATCAAGTAAAAACTAAATCGAATTCACCGTTGACGTTGAATAGACGTCAAAAAAAGTCTCCCCTTTATAAGGTTTTTTCACCCCCTGATACGCGGACGAAAACAGCAAATATGCCAATCTTTTAATCAGTAAAGTAACTTGCTTATAGTCAAATACTTTGTCACGTTATACCATTGTACAGTGAACATTTTGAAAACTTTATAAAACCATATGCAAACTCGGTTTCAATAATACGTCAGTATTCAGAAGCATAGGGACATAGAAGTCCGTAAATATTTTTAAAAAACGAAGCGTATAAAAGTTTCTTTTTAACTGTATACATTTTAGCATCTGACCACAGTTCGCAAACACTCGATATAGTAAAATTTGGATATTGTTCGGATAACATTACATGCCATGTGCCTATCATGTTATTGTACACGCTTTTTATATAATTTGTATAATCACTTTCATAATAAAGAGTTAAAGATACGAAATGATGATAAACAAAATCGATTGTCTAAGGGCCTGTCCCACCACTGGCTGATAAAGGCTCAGATAGTTCAAAAACGACGTCACTGTCAGATAAGGGTACAAAATCCGTTATTTCCATCACATATTTTTTTTTTTTTGATACTTTTTAGAACTTTAGCACATATAACATATACACTTTGCATTGCATTTACAATTTGGTGGGACACGCCCTAATAACTTTAGTTAGCAATTTGATTGCCTATTTAAAGTAATTATTTAGATAACTAGACTACTTAGGTGTAATAATAGTTATAAGCTTAAATAATATTTTTGGACATTTTGTTTGATTTTTTGAAGTTGACTTAGTATTTTTCTGACTAAAATTCGCAGACATCTTGACTTGTACAGACCATTTATAAAATAAAATTCTTAAGAAATTAATAGTTTTTAACGACAAACAGAATTAAAAAGGCATATATTTTTTCTTTCTCTACGATAATTATAATAATCAAACATCAGAAATTTAAAAAAAACTGTTGATCTGACTGATTTTTATTGTAACATAAGTAAATATAAGGATGTTTGACTTACTAGACGCGTAAAGTATTGGACTTTTTTTGATTTATTATTGAAACATGACAAGAAAAAAATATTATTTAGTTTTAGATCAGTTCCTATTAATTGTATGGCCTAATTGAGAATATAAAAACCTAAGCCAAACGTCGCTTCAATCTTGATTATATCTCTTTCTACGCAAAGGAATCAGTTCCATATTTACCAGCAATATGGCGTTTTTATATTACCGGTTAAGCTATACCTATACTGTTTGACGGCAGCTTCCATTAAAGTCTGAAAGAAAACAATGCGACCTCTCAGTACATAGATATTAAGTAATTACATAAAACTGTAGTGAATTTGTTCTGCCGATGTACATATATGAAGACATTCTATCTCTATTTTTCCAGAGAATGACAGAGATGGCAATATCTTTGTACAAGTATTTCTGCAACGCATTGTCCTGGTTAATAACATCATTGTTACTTTCTTTTTTACGACTTGAAACTGGTCCTTTTTTATTTTTTACTTAGGTAAAATAAAACACCAATTGATACATAATCTTTTATTTCACCATTCATAGAGTAAATGTAAGTGAATATTTTTCGTCTTAAGACATACATAGGTGCAGCTAATATTGAATAAACACCTAGAAAAATGTTATTCAAAACTTAAATAAGGCTTAACAACTACGTTTTAACTTCGCCACAAAATAATAGACTTTGACAATTGTCAGAGTCAGAGAGAAAATGATAAATTGAAAAGCTAATAGCGTAAATACGATAAGAATAAGAATACAATGTTTGATGGGAATGCTATCAATACAGATTTATAATATTAAAATAATTGTAAGTAATTATCCAAATATAAAATATTACATTAATTAAATATTTTAAGAGAAATAAAACAAAGAATTTTCATAACTTTCATGAAACAGTACATTATTTAAAGAAAAACAAGATCTGAAAATTATCTCATAACTTCTGCTTGTCTAAGAACTATATGAAATACATTAATATTTTAAATTTAGTGAATACTACTAATTTTAGCCAATGGCAGACAACAAAAGCTGGGCAATGTCTTCCCGAGGGGACCTAACAGCTAGTTTCATAGTAACACCCACATTTATAGAGACTAACTTCGCCTTCATCAGCACGGGAGCTCCGCCGCGGAATATACCGCAACCCTTGATCTCCTTAATAGCGTCTCCGCTCACAGCTTCGTTTGGCAGAGCCAAGTGTCTGCAAACCGCTTTACCAGCCTCTTCAATATCATTGTACGGAAGAGCGAAAGTGTCACTGGCTTCCGGAGAATTCGCCGCGCATTCCCAAGTCTCTTCGAAATCTTCAGCGGCAGTGCGTGTTTTAATTTGATCAGCACAATTGATATCGAATTCCTCCAAAGGATACGAATCGGCGTATCCTTCGCCGGGGTCGGGAATGCCGGTGTTGGGATCGCAGTCCCTCACCACGAACTCCAAAGTCGCACCGAATGTTCCCAAACTGTCCAAGTATGCGCTCGGAAATTCGACAACCACGAATACACTATCGGATTTATTGAAAGCCAATCTCTGACAGGGTACGATTGATACAAAATTATATTCAGGTGGTGTATCCAATCGAACGTGAACTTGCTCGAGTAGTTGATCATTGAGTGTATTCACACATTCAAACTGCAATATGATGTGGCGTGCAAAAATGTGTTTGTACAAGCGCACCGTGTACTCTGTCTCCGGTTCGGTTAATTCGACCACTTGGGCGCGTTTGAAAATAGGTCCAAAGCGCTCGATACCAGGAATCTGCGACAACATTTCGTTATATACCTCTTCTGTTGTCATTTGCGTGGGCTTTTTCACTTCCACTTCAACTATATCTTCTTTCTCTTCTTTGAGTTCTTCTGTAGGTACTGACATTATATCAAATGTCTCCTCTGGTTTGGTAGCGATATGCTCACGTAATGCTCGTTCAAGCTGTACGGGATTTAGCTTCACGACATTTATGATGTAATCGTTGATAAGTTGTTGATCTCCAGTATCGAGTATAGCGTTATAGAAAATGGCGCGATCTCTAACTTCATCTTCATCGTCCAGTTCGCAACGAGTTAAAAGAACCTTAATGTTAGGCAACATTTCGGGCCGCTGGGCACCGAACTGCGCGACTGCAGATACCGCTGCCGCTCTCACCGGACCTGATTCCAAAATAACTCTGTTGTAAATAAAACGGATGTATCGTGAAGGCTGACGTGACTTAGGACCCTCGCGTCCCAGCAAATGTAATATACGGACAGCCAAAGCGGAGTGCTCACAGTCCTCTATAAATTCACACAAATGTGCCAGACCTGTCTCTTTAGCATCTGGGTTCTCTTCTACTATTTCTATTATGGCATCGGCTATAGCCGCTTTAAAGTCTAATCCACCTTCATCTCTTAACATTCCAGCCAGAAATGCTACAATAGACTGATGCTTTCTTGGAAATTTCGTACAGAGACGTCGAATAGCTTTCACCACGATGATTTTGAATTCGTCAGAAATTTCGGAAACAAAGCTTGATATTTGCTTCATTAATCTGTCAATGGAGCTCTCAGCACCCGTAGCGAGCAATGTTGTAACAGCTAAAGTAGCAACGGAGCGGTTAGGATCAGATATCAGGTTTTCTAGATCAACTGTACAAGCTGCAACGGCTGTAGGTCGTTTGGCGGTCAGGCAAGCTAATGTTCGTGCCCCCGCAAGTCGCAAAGAGGCTTTCGAGGAGCCACAGAACAACTGTAACACGGATACAGCTGGTGCTAGATCACGCACAGGCTTCTTTAGATTGACAATAGCATGGGCTGCTTCATAAATAACCATTTCAGATTTGTGCCTGAGACAGTACTCTATAAAATCAATAAAACGTTTGGAATTATCAGAGTCATCAGTTTCTACCATTTGGGCAGCAAAACGTATAAGGAGGCACAGCATATAAGGAGACTTCACGGAAGTTCCGAAGTAGCGAGTAATCAGTTTTACAGTAGACAATTTGTCATTTTTCTTTAATCCAGCGACCAGCCCCAATGCATGATAGCAAACCATGGGATCGTCAGAGTTCATTGCTTCCTGTAACAAAAAAAAAATGTATATTAGAACAATATTAAAATAACAAAACTATCTATTTGCTACAAACAGCATCAAAGGCTCAGGGGTTAAGCACATCCTGAGTTCAAATTCCATCATGTTGGTACAAGATGGGTTGTGTTTTCTTTTTTGTTGAAAAAAAGGGTTCACTGATGAGATTGGGACATGATGGAATGAGTTTTTTGATTTAAAAAACTTTTATATTTACTTGCCGTCTTATGATAAAGGAAAACAATGAAGACACCTAGACATGCGTGCAACAAAGCTCAAATATATGTGTAATTTCAACTGTCACTGGGTCAGCATAATATGGGCTCTCAGTGGATATGTAAACTGAGTAAATAGTTTATTAAAGAAAACAAGCATTTTTAATTTCATATTTAATACAAACCTGTGCCTCATTAATCCATCGCCGAACCAGATCCGGAGCACTTGATGAAAGATGAAGAGCGGAGACTAAAGCTGCGGAGCTCACAGCTGGGTTCTTATCAACAATAGCTTGCTTCATGTATCTTTCTATAGCTTGTAGCATTGTGCTATCGGTGATACTACACAATGCTCTTATAGCGGCGGGTCTATACAAATCCTCTTTACCTGTCATATCCTTAGTCAATGACGATGTTACTATGATAATATCTTGGGCCATAGTGCTCAACTCTTTTATGCAAAGATAAACCATACGCCTCAACATCACATTTTTGGATTGGAACAGTTTGGTTGTTGCAAAAAACACATCTGTCGCCTCCTTCGTAGTGAACTTTTCTCCTTGATTGAGTAAATACAGAATTTTCGACAAGATGTAAATACATTTTCTTGGATTAACCGGAGTTTCATTAAAATATCTAGCTTCTTGCAATACTATAGTCTTGTCAAGGTTTTGGTAAGGATTACCACCACTGTCTTCTTCCTCTTTTTTATCTCTCTTAAAGGAACTCATTTTTGATTTTTTATTTCGAGTAATTAAGAAATTATGGGGTACCGAAGAATACACTTTTACAAGAAAATATACGATACACGTATCATTGACTTGTCAAATCAATAATTGTCAAAAAAATATTGCCAAGTGTTAGAATTCCGTTCCGTTACTCACAGAACATATTTATTGATTTAATGAAAACACGATATTTTTATTCTTTATTTAATTGGTTATATTTTTAAATAACACAAAAATCAGGCGATGGAAAATAAACCACTATATCACAAAGCCAAAGTAGTCTGAAAAATTTCTGAGTAAACCTAAAAACTTGCTTTGCATGTCGACATACGCGACTCCAAACGACAGAAGCGATAGGCATTGTAGCGCTTGATAAAAGTGAATAAATCGATACGAGCTTCAAACACATGAAAATCGAATTCAGTTTTTTTAAAATAACCATGTTGTCGATTTTTGCAACATCCTTAATGTTTAAAAATAAACGATCATGCAAACGACGTTGTAAAATGTTCAATTGGTATTTTATCTTACTTACTATTTTTCTTACTCTCTACTTCTGAAACTGTATGAAACTATTAAAATTTTAGGATTATTTGAATAAAGTACAACTTAAAAAAAATGTTTATTTATTAGTATAGATCGGATAATTCTTTAATTCTTCGTAGTTCCAGTCTTCGGTCTCATTACTGTAATAAAAAGACGTATTCGAATTCTTCGACGAATCTGGGGAATACAAACGAAAATTCAGTACTTCAGTAATAATTTAACGTCCAAATAAAAAATGCCAAATTAAGTTACTAGCTGATTATAGACTTATGAAAGAATGTTTGAAATCGATTGTTAGCTTTTTAACTATTTTTGATGTATTCTGTATTCTTAAAAGTTATTTGTTAACGTTCGTTCGCTATATTTGCGTTGTCGCATTGCAGTTCAGTTTGTGTGTTTTAAAGTAATTTACAAGTATTGTTAATATGGCCGTCCGTCTATATTTTAAAGAAGAAAGTCATTCGTGGAAATATCTAACACGATTGAGTAGATTTGTAGTTAACCTTAAAGTTACAATCTTACTAGTGTTCCTAATATTATAAATGTGAAAGTATGGATGGATGTTTGTTAGAGTTTATAGTTTAAATCTGAAAGGATCTAGATGAAATTTGGCACATATGTAGAGGATAGTCTGGAAGAACACTAATCCTATTTTCGATTCCGGAAATAATTACTGTTTCCGTGGGATACATTACTTTTTTATGTTAATATACTGCAATGGTTAAACATATCTTATTGAAATTTGGCAAACTTACAAAACTTTACAAAACTAAGCCTGCGGTCATGGGAGATCATCCTTAAAAATTTTCAGGTTCACGAAGGAAAAGGTAGTATTTTGTTTTTTCTGTGTTTTCTATGTTATTTATTGTAACTACAACGTGTAGTCTAGGTTAGAAAGGAACAGTATATTTAGGTGTTGATGATGAAGAGATAAAGCGTCGGTTGCTCAAGGGTTTGAATACTTGACTTGTGATCTAAAGGTCTTGGGTACGAATCCTGCCATGTATTTGATTTTCGATTTTTCGAATTACATATGCACATAAATTACCCGACGTTTTTACGATGAAGGAAAAATTGTGATGCAACCTGCACATATCAGCGAAGAAATTCAAAGATACGTGTGAAATTGACCAACCCGCATTGGGATAATAGTTAAAACAACAGTCATCCCTTATTGGGGTGGCTCAGAGCGCATCAGTGGAGACGTATAGTTAGCTGGTGATGATGATAAAATTTAGTTTGAAGCGTTACCGTGAGACGACGGTGGTGGCGTGGGCGCTCGCTCTTTGGGTGTCCTCCGGAAAGAGTTAGTCACTGTAATACCATTAATGTTATAAATGCAAAAGTTTGGATGGATGGTCGTCTGTTTACTACATATTAAGTCATTAATGGATCTCGATGAAATTTAACACAATAGCATAATTTTAAACAATTAGGCTGTCTAACTAAACTCCTGTGAATGCTGGTTAGTTCTAAGAAAGTAAATAACTTATATAGTTTATGTAATAATTCTTCGTCATCGCAGTTCGCAGTAATATAGTAATTTCAAAAAACACAGTTTCGCAAAAACAGTTTAAAATTAATTTACATGAAAAATGTCAAAAAAAAATTATTTTTATTTTTATTCCAATAAAAGAAAATTTTGACAAAACTTAAACTACAACATTTCCATATTAAATAAACTAGTTTTTAAATTAGTTAGCAACTGCAGCTTTGAGTTGCGTAATGGTCACTGTCAGACTTTAGTAGATTCTCATACTAAATGACCAATCAACGTCTCTAGCAGCATTACGATTTGTTTATACTAACCTGTTGCCAGTTTTTGCATTGGAGGGTTGGTTTTTGGCATTTGCGGTGGCTGTATGCGCGTTATGGAAGGCACTGAAACAATGAAAGATTGGTCACAGGATCAAAATAAATGATTTATCGTACTCTAGAAATCATTAGCTAGCACATTTGGAAAGCTTCCCATTTTTTATAAGATGTGATTATTCATGCAGATATTTGAGCCTTAGTCGACGCAAATCCATTCTCTTCAACACTAATATAAACACACACTACTTAGTTACATGGGATGTCAACAATCATAGTATATTTGTGAACAGTCAATACTTTTTTAATTAACAACGCTATAAAAAAAATAAAACCATGTCAACATAATTAATTTAATAACTTACATGTAGTTTTTACCATTGGTAACACATTCGGAACGTTTATTTTTTCCGGATTTGATGGAATATGCTTTTGATTGGGCACTGCTGAAATTGATTTGTTTTAATTAGTCTTGAAAATTGTTAACGATTCGATATCCTGGAAGTGACTAAAATTATAAAGATTCAACATTAAGGACAGATTTTCTTTGTAATTACTATGTCTGTGTTATATTTTTTCAATTATCTGTAGGCCTCTGTAGGATTTGAACTCCAAAATGCATTTCTGGTATTCTCATTTTTATCTGTATATCCTCTTTTAAAAATGTTCCTCGTTATAATTAATACTTATTGGTCACACTATTGTCTTATTTTGATTGACATTCGTCTATATTGTGTGTACAAATAACATTTTTTTTTAAATAAAAATGTTAGTAGATTTTTGTTAATTTACTAGTATTTCCTTTCACCATTCCAACTAAGCTCTAGGCTTGTGCTAGGGTATGGTTCACGACGATAGTCGAAGGTCGGTATTCGAACCCTCGACCGCAAGATCGGTAACACGCCCTAAGCTACTGGCGCTTAAAACAATAAAATAATATTACAAGTAAGTAAAAATAAAAAACAATAATAATTACTGTTTTCAGCCATTCTTCTGTTATTCAATACAGAGGTTAGCTCTGTAGCTATTGATCTATTTTCTGTAAACAAAAAACAATCATGAAAATATTTCTTTTATTAGCAATGTTATCTAATTGTTCTAATATACTTATCATACGTATATTCATATACCTGTTCGTGGTTTCTCTTTCATCAATGGTACAGGCATAGGTTGACGAGCAGTCACTGGAGGCAAAGCTTGTTCAGCTAAAAAGCAAAAAAAATCACATTGATGAAAAGTTTCGTATGTAACAAGAAGGACTTTAGTTATGAATGTGGTACACGGGCAGGGGAAGACCTAGAAAGAGGTGGATGAATTGCATGAAAGGTGACATGACAAGAAGGGAGTGATGACTGCGATGACGGGGAGTAGGATAACGTTAGGCGATCCGCTGCTCCTTTTCCCCTTTTTTCTATAAAAAAGGGAAGATATAAAGGGATGTGTGAGCAAGATTCGCCTGGGCCCACCCGGATCTATGCGCTCGTAGCTTACGGACCTGACATAAAGATTGAATATTATTCCTGTTTCTATTCGGTTTCCGAATCTAGTTTCGGTTTCGGCCAAAACAGAATGCAAGGCCGAAAGGTGGGTTTCGGTTTCGGCTAAAAATCAGTTCTGGTAGTTCACTGATTACACCATACATAAACTGTATTCAATGCCACATTGCGTTTTGAGGTACGGTTCGCGTGTAGAATTAGAATAAGATTTCAATCTTTTATGAATGAACTCTGTAATTTTTATAATTTAGTCATATTAATCTTATTCTTATTATAAATTTAAAATTATAAATGCGAAAGTTTCGATGGATAGATGTTTGTTAGAGTTTGTAGTCTAAACGGCTGAAAGGATCTTGATGAAATTTGGCATAGATGCAGAATATAGTCATAATACTCGTATATAATTTTCATACATACGTTTGGGAATGTATGGCTTCATATCTATTGGTTCTCGTGGTGGTATTTTTGGTAGTACATCCATTTCCCTTTTTGAAATCCTCCAATGATATTGTTTTTCAGCCTTCATTCGGTTAAAAGGTGGTGGCGACGGATCTGCATAATAAATTATTTAAAAAAATGTTTGTTCGGTTATAAAAAAAACCACAGGGTAAATTGAATTTGTTTTTGGCCCTTTATGAAGGTCACCCCTAAACATATAATGGACCGTTAAATAACACAGATTATTAGTATATTTTCCGTTAAGAGTATACAAAGATTCGCTGATTCTGAAAATAATGAAGTCCGACCATTGCATTTACATTGCACTTTTATAGTTAAATACATAAAGAAAACTAACCTCGTGTTGCAATATGCAAATTGTCTACAGAATGATATATGTTACTGTTCTCTCTGTCTTGTTTCATATTAGACTGATAGGGAAGATTTGATCTAACCGGAACTGAAATAAAAATTAAGGAAATAATATGTGGTATGACGTGAAGAAAGTGAAATAGAGGCAGGCAAATAGGTTGGTATGATACAGGGAGACATATCGACAGAGGGGGGCACACAAAAAAGTTTCCTTCCATATATTCTTTTTAAAGAAAAAGACTAGAATTTGGTCTCTTATCAGCCAAAACGCACGTCATGTTTGCTTAAACTGTCAGTACTTATCAAAATAATTTCGTAACATCTTACTAATATTATAAATGCGAAAATTTGAATGTGCCGATGGATGTCAATGTTTGTAGCTTAAACGACTAAACGGATCTAGATTAAATTTGGCATAGGATAATCTGAAAGAACCATGGACGGAATCGCGGGTGAAACTTAGTGTAAAATAAACATTCAATACGTACTTTGCGTTTCATGTGTATGTTTGAGATGTCTGTATTTATTATTGAATTTGTTCGATGTTTCTACATCATTTTTCTTTTTTATACTTCCTTGAAGTAAACGTTTCTGGTCCTGTAATACTGTGAAAAATTACAATTAAGTTGACATAAACACATCGTTTTACAAAAAATGTATTCTTAAAAATATAAATCTTCGTTGACGAAATACAAGATGGCGAAACAATAAATGTCTCTTAAACCTTTTAACTAAACAGTTGAAATTTCAGGCCTTTAAATAGGCTGATATTAATGGTCTTTAAATTGTGAGAAAACTAAAAAATCACAAGTAAATAAATTGTCCTGTAACAAACCTTGGTTTTTCTTTCGTATATTATAAATACATATAGCTTGTACAATGAGTATGATAAATGCTACAATTCCAGTATAAAGGAAGAACCAAACGGCTGTAAAGGAAAATGTCATTTCATTAATAATTATATTAAAAATTAAATCGTAGGTGTGTTATATCATAGTTACCTTACAATTTGAAAAAAGTTTTTTTAATTTGCCACGGGTGCGTCAAGTTCAGTTCAGTTTTTACTGAATACACACGCACGGTTTAACTGAACAGCTATTGTTCAGTTAAAACTGATGGAACAGTATGTTTGCCTAAATATAGCGACTGTTCATCGATTGCGATTAGTACAAGGTTATATGCTTGTGCGGTAAGTAACTAATCACTAAAATTGTCTTCTACTAATTGTTGCACGTGACTTCGTCCGCGTAAATATAATAAAAAACATGACCCATATTACTAACAGATAACGTAGCTTTTTAATGGTGAATGAACTTTATAAATCGGCCTTTTAGTTTTTGAGTTATTTCAATACATACAAAAATACAAATTGCTCTTTATAGCATTAGTATAGATATATGATAACTTGAAAACTATCATATTGCGAATTTAAATAAAAAATGTTTTGTACTTACAAATATCGCATTTTTCAGAAACTTGATTGTTGTTGTTGTTGTTGTTTTTTACGTCTGAAAGTAATGTATTTATTTATAATTTAATTTGGATTTTTTTTAATCGAGATTTTTCAAATCTTTCTTACCTCTCTGGTATATATAATGACAGCAAACGGCGTCATTGAAATAGTAATTCAAAAAACTAATTCCCTCCTTTGCCGTCTGTAATATTTTATCATTTTGATTTACTGCCTCCAGGTCCTATGTGTAGAGATACAAAGATTTTGGGTTATAACGTTCACATAGTTTTTAAATCTCTTTTAACGTGGACTACCTAGGTGGTATAAATTTAGCTCTCACAACTATAATTCGTAATGCACCAACAGATATCAATAATTGGTTATTCCCAAGTGAAACTTTTACTTTCATTGTGAAATAGGCAACAAAACTACAAAGCAGATAACTCCTTTATTATTATAGTGAAAATTAAAAATGATTACCAAACATGTCTTCCCTGGTTTGATTATTTCTTTTGTGTTGTGACTGAAAATAAAATTATTAAATGATTTATACAATTTACTTCATTATTTTTATGTTTTACTATTAAATAGTATAAAATAGTAAAAAACCAATTACCATATAACATAATAAATATCTGATTTATTTATTTTCGGATTAAAGGCTATAGGAACATCTGAAAAATAAAATTTAACATACATTTCTTTTGCTCTAACAGTTATGGTAACGAAGTAACGGCTCTGTCAAGGCTTTTGAGGGAGCCCTCGAGCTTAGTTACTCATAAACAGAGATGCACATAAAGAGGATATTTCCTCTTCCTATGCATCCCCTTTACCGTCAAATCCACTTACTTTTTGTATCCTCTCCTTTTGAGAAATGGGTGGTAAAGAGAAAGGGACTTAAATTAGGCCTCCGGCACCACACTCATCAGAAGAAACACGGAATTGCTTCCATTTCAGGCCTGTCTTCTGTATGGTCGTGATATTACACTGGGCGTGTCGGCCCATTCGTGCTAAGATGTTAAAGCGGGCACTATCACTGTCGAATGCTCTATTCAATCGCAAATTATATTTGTGGTCGAGGGAAAACCGTCATTACTCATTGCTAGTTGTTAGGTGGTAAGGGAGACTTAGCATATTAAAGGAAAATGTACACAGTAAGACTTTATTAAATTTTTCTGAGCGCGGCAGCTGGGTGTTAAACTTAAAATTCAAAGTTTATCATAAAAAAATCGGTTTAAAGCAAATTAATTTCTGTCTTTTAAAAATTTAATTAACTAAGACCTTATTCGTAGGTTTTATCGAATATGTCTAAAACATATTTTTGAACAAAACTTTGAAAAAAATAACATGGATAACACGCTTAGGCATTTAGGACAAGAAAACTCTCGAAAGTGATAACTGAAATTGATTTAACAAAGTTCTAATTTAAGTAAAACAACCTTACCTTTGAAAGTTTGGTTAATCGGTAAAACACTATTTATCTCTTGATTGATTGTCGTATAATTCGGGTGTCCAAGGTCATAATGAAAAAATAAATAAAAGAAAAAAATGATTTTTTAAACAGCTTCTTCGGTAATTTCTACTTACTATAGTATAAGTTATAAATGCGAAAGTTTAAATGAATGGATATTTCTTAGAGTTTGCCACCTAAATATAAACGGATTTCGATGAAAGGCATAGACTGGAAGAACACATAGGCACAATTTTTTTTATTCCTCGCGGACGGAATCGCGAGGCAAAGCTAGTATAACACAAATGTTATAATAAATATGTCGTATCCAAATGGATGAGGTAGTAAATGATCAGCAATAAGGTAATTCAGCATTTTGATATTACGTGTTAAAAAGTTATCGTTGTATGTAATGAGGAAAGTAAAGCCGAATATGCCAGTAAAATGTTAACCAAATCTAAACTAATATAATAAAGCGTAAACACACACTACTTCGTGACGTAAGATGTCAGCAATCACACCATATTTTTGAATATTATTGTTATTATTATTTCTCTTATAAAAAGCCCTACACTTACGAAACGCTTTAGGCTGTATTTTTTCACGCTATCAAACTTTGAGGGTAAATAAATTGGAAAAACCGTCATATGGGAAAGGGACCATAAACTACAAGCTTTCAATATTAAGAAAGCAAGGTTATTATGGTAACGGTAATTTTGACTTTTGCAATTGAGAATTTGACAAATATTAAACAATAAAATAAAGTTTTTGAATAAGTTTTATCAACCTATCGAACTATCTTTCAATTTATTTTCATATAAATGAGCATGAAAATTAGGGTTCAGATATGCCTAGCTACAGCTAGCACGTGCCTGCACTCGACTTGCAAGTCTGCCAGTTACTTGTCTGAATATTCCCAGTGTAACAACCACGCAACCAAAAAAAATAAAAGAGTAAAAAGATGTAAACAGTGCAAAAAAGAGTACGGACCAAGAGTCTGTAGACGTTGATAAAAAAAACATAACAACGACCATAGTTATCAAAAGCGTACGTGAGCTATAGTATCTAGCTTTCCTTATAAAATTTAATAGCTACAGAAAATATTTACCGAAACAGTTCACGTAGGTATATACACAGATGATAGAAAGATAATGTTTAAAGTACATCTTGCCACAAATATCACTATAGGCAAAGTCAGTATTTACTAAACGACACTTGTTACACGGCAACTTCGTAAATGTTACTGATGACATGGACAATTGTTGCAAAAATAATTAAGGAAATTAAGTAGGAAATTCGTAATGAGTGACAATAATTATGAATAATCTGTTGATTCCAATATACGCAGACGAAAACGCAAAATATACTAGAATTTAATTTAAAAAAAAACACCAGCATGGGCGTAGCCACTCATGGGCTCAGGGGGTAGTAGTCTATAATCATATCAATATTATAATTGCGAAAGTTTAGTTGGATAGATATTTGTTTGTAGCCTAAACTGCTGAACGGATCTCGATGAAATTTGGCATGCATGTAGAGTATAGATAGAAAAATGTATAGTTTAGAATGTTAGCTTAAAAATCAAAACCGATTAATCTAACTAAATTAATTAAAGTAATGAAATTGTGGTTTTGAAATTTTAGGGGTGTATAAAAAGAGGGTGGTAAAAGAAATGTTTGACAATCACTGATGTAGAGGCTACTTATTTCAGGTTTTAGTAAATCCACACGGACGCAGTCACGGGCGAATGCTAGTAACTAATATATAACTATCAAATTATAATAGTAGTTCTAAACATCCAAAACACTTTTTTAATACTCAACTACCAACACAACGACATCTTTCATTCAAAAGCGCTATTTTTGTTTTGATCGCTTCTATTTGTCGACTGTCAAGTCTGAAGTTTTTTGCGGTTGTTAGGAATTGTAATTAGTATACCCAGATAATTTATTTTGTTAGGGTTTTAGGTACCCTACAGGTCAGAGCCAGGGTAGAGCAAGCGCATCACCCTGCCCTTCGGTGCAGACATCACATTTTCATAACTGGATTTATAACTTTTTTTAATTATTTTGTTTCAAATATGCTGATAATATAATTCAATTAAGTTACTATCGTACGATGTGTAGGTTTACAATAGTATAGTGTAGGTTTGTAATAAATACAACCTTTACAGGTTGTATTTATTACTAAACATATCCAGACTCTGAGTGCGCCAGTTAATTGTTAGCATTTTCTGGGTGAAGTATTTAATGTTAAATAATGAAGTCTCCCGCCGAAACAAAATCTTTATAAAATTGACATATTTTGAACATGCGCACAACTTTCCAATGAGTTGCCAGATAATGTGATGATAATCGCTGGTAAATTAAACGCGAATTAAATTAAGTAGAACTTTTAAATGTACAATTAGTTTTTAAATATGTATATTGGTATGTCTGAAATTTGTTTCAAAGAGTAATGATTGTACAGTGTACCGAATGCCATCACCAAGGTGTGTCTTGGGTCGTACAGTAGGGCTGCAACGCGCATGCGTGGATCTCTCGCCCCTGCGACCCAGCCAGATACAAGATGGCCACTCACTGACGCGTCTCCCGATTGATTTTTTTTCTCCACACTAGTTCTAACACCGTTTGCAGCAAAATATAATACAGTTCAAGCAACCGCATACTGCCGAAAATAAATGTGCCAGTGCACACCCGCCGCGCTTATAAATACACAGTACCGCAACCATAACCTGTGCTACATCGTCTCGTTCCTCGATCTCGGTTTTATGTGAATATTTTCGTGTTATTCTCATCACCGGTTACAAGACGGCCCTAGGCCCGGTCAAAACGGATTCTATGTGCAATTATCTATGGGATAACTGTCATCGACACCATTTAAAACACGTAAGTACCTAACACGCCTCGCCAATTTAAGTGGCCAGTTCAAGACGGTTCTGGTGACCTAAAATCTAGACATAATGCAGTTAGAGCTACGACCGTATCCTATTAGAACGTGCGTAAACTATTTGTGTCTTTTATGCTTAGGGTGTTTAAAAAATCAGTTACATTTTGACAAATGACAAAAAGTGCAATAGATAGAAATGACATAACCTAACAGATTATGTGTGAGATGTATGTTCAGTGTTTGGTGAGGCAGGGCTTTCTCCGAATTTTGTGAGTTATCATGCTATCCTCTTTCCTCCTAATGGTTTATCTCTCTCGTTCACTGGGTATTCCTGAATGGGACATTAAGCATGCGCTCTAAGATTTAGTTTGGTCACAGCATCTTGGTAAGGTTTTTATCTACAGATTGTGTCTTTAAATTATCTTTTTCATGGAGATTCGGATTTTTGCTTTCAATTAAATTAACTATTATTGCGATCAATATTTTAAAGACGTTAAATTAACTTTGTGGGTCTTAACTCAAATGTGTTGTTTTTATTTTCATCGCGCATTTTTTTTCTTAATAAGTACATTCACTTATTCACTTATTATCATGATATCACGTGTCTATTAATTACTCTAAGTCTCATAAAACCTCATTTAACATAATTTGACTTTATAATATTTAAACTATTTTTTTTTGTTTTAGAACGAATTTGCAATTATATATAAATGAGGTATCCACTGGCTTTAAAATAACTACAGGCTCACACTGACGAGCTTAAAAACTCTTATCGTCTCTTTTTTTTTTCCCTTTGTAAAACAGTATTACTAGCTTCCTACCGCGACTCCGAACTCTAACACGCATCAATCTAAACTTTCGCATTTTTATTAGTATGATTGTTCAAAGGTGATATATTAAGATAAATCATAGAACTTAATGATCTAATCATGAATGTTAACCCTTTTTTTATCAAATAAAATAGCTGTGTATATTTTTATTAGTGTGAACAGATATGGTACATATTTTTCTATGAAGCCGATTCGTAAATTAGTTTTTTGAACGTATGTAATGTTTAATTTTAAACTGTGTCACATATAGTTAGTTTGAGTTCTTAAAACTTTATCTATTACACTTAGCAACTGTGGTCAAAACTCAATTTAGATAAAACTAATATTTATACGCTTTTTAATAATCTGCTTCAGTATTTTAGAAACTAGAACTGAGTAAATCAGACTTTTTAACAACAATTAGTCCAGTTGAAGACAATTTAACTCTCAACTGGTGTCGACTGAAATTCTTGGT